GATATTCAGAAACAATAAAAAACTGTGCAAATGCACTGCTCTTTTTATTAGAGGTAACCAGTGTATGTTAATAACAGGCCAATTGCCTACACATGAACATAAACAGTTCATATGGGTGGCTTATCTGACGGCCCCATTTCACTCGCAAAGAGATACACTGTCAAAAGTGAAAATGGACGTTTTTGATTTTTGTCTTAATAATGAGTAATTGCTCCACCAATCCTCAGACTTTGAGCAATTCATCGTGACATGCTCCTAATCAACCGTCAAATCATGATTTGGGGCAATCTGACCCACTCCTCTTGCAGTGCCACAGCCAATTCTTGCGGTGTTGTCTGTTGACGTCGACGAACACGCTCCCGATCAAATTAAACGTAACACACTAAAGCAAAGATATGCTAAACAGTAAATCTTATGCAAGAACCGATAGGAAAGCAAACATGGATAGGATAAACCAGCAAGCGGCAGTTTTCATCAACTCTTCCTTGAAGTGTCAAATTTGACAATGAACCCCTCCCAAGTATATGGCGCTATTGCGTGTCGCATGTGCAGCTCAGTGGTTCTGTTGGGGCGATAAGTTCTTCATCTGTGAACATACTCCCAAAGCATGTCAAGTGTCCATGACTATTTATCATATCACAACCTGCATAGGTATTTGCATTTCAATATCCCCTACTTTTTTTGAAGAGTATATAATGAAGTTGTCAGTCCCATATGCGTAGGGAACACAAATTCTTGAATGCACTGGATTTTGTTGTTATATAATATATTATGTAGGATTGTGTGTGGGGCTGTGTTCAAATGAAGATACTTGGTTGACTTCTTCATTCTTGTTGAAAATAGTTGAATTTTAAGAATGTATTTACTATATATACTATAAGTATTCTCAATACATGGACTATTTTCTATATGTTATGCATACTTGCGCACAGCAATTCGTCTATTCAAACCTGGAGCTAACTGTAGATAGGCAGCCTAAGTTTTGGATGTATGTTATGTTGTCAGTAGACCTGTTCTGAGCATCAAGGATCATTCTCTCATACCTGAAATGAGATATTACAATATGAGTTATATTTGTAATAGATATCCACCAATAAATATAGATAAACTGGAGAGTTTTAGTTCTCTGGGTTACACATTTGGATATCATATTGTTATTGTGAAAGTTGTTAGATGATAAAATTTACTGTTACCATAGAAACAGCTACTATTAAAATGATAACATTCTGGACCTAAAAGACATGGAGTACATTCCAAAATGTATTTAAAATGTTTTTAAAATGATTTTTTAAATGTAAATAATATTTTAAGGTATGGCAAGATAATTGTAGATTGTGATACTAATTGGGGGTCTGTGTGTTTCAAATTATTCTCCCAGATTGAGAGAAGACTGTATTAATGGTCAAAAGTTGCCAGTCCGACATTTTAAGTCTTTATGTTGTTAAAGTTCTCCCATAGCTTTGAAAAAAAAAATTGTGTTTTTATATTCAGATCTAAATATCAGGTCTAGAAACATGACAGCTTTTTTCATTTTTTCAGATTTTGAAAAATAAAACCCCACTTTGAAGTTGATAACTTAAAACAACAAACTAAATAAACTCCTTATAGATTTATTATTTTAATCTCACTATAAAATATTTATATACACTGTGACTATTATTTGGACAATTAAGATAATTGAGAGGTGGGGGATTTAATAACCTTTAAGGCATGTTATATAATCATGTTTGTCCATAATAGTATATAAGGCAAGCACAGATAATAGTTAGATTTCCATTTTTCTCAGGGTGTGTTATCATTAACTTTGGCTTCTCCCAGTAAAATAGAAATATTTTTGATAAAGATCAATCAACAGACTGTAACCATTCAAGTACATCTTTTTTAAGTATAGAAAATTACTTATCTATCATTTTTAAGCATCTCTCGCATTAAAATCATCCACCCAAAAGTAATGAAAAATTTGAGTGATTCATTGCCTGAAACTTTAGTTTAAGGAGCTTTAGTGCCTTTCTTGTAACCTATTGTTTATTATTGTGTGCCAATATATACCATTCTAAAATCTATGCCTTCTACCACAGCTTCAAACAAATTTTTAATGGAACACTCCTTTGTAGCTTCTTCATACAGGAATGGACATAGACTTGTCGCTAACCTGGAGGTCCTGTGTTCGATCCCTGCATTGACAGAGAAGGTTCATCAGGATTTTCCGGCGTGGTCCCTCCTTGTCAGTGGTGCAGGAATGAGGGCCTGGCAAGGAACAATGTATAGTCATTCGGATGGGATGAAAAACTGTTAAAGATCCCTTGGCAGTTGGAATTAGATATAAGAGTAGGTCATAGTGCCCCTGACCGGGCAACATTTCCCTCATACATGTAGCACACTGTATGACATATGCCCGTCTAGTTGGAGTTGGAGCAGAACAGTAGGATGCTAAACTCCATTTCATTTCATTTATTTAGAAATGTTTCATGAACGAATGACTGACTCCATACATATTCTTTTGATTAAGACAGAACATGATTTGCCCATATGCTGAAGACTGAGATAGCCATTAGCAGATCTATTAACAGACTTCCTGTATTTTGTGCTAGTAGCTTAATGAAGGTTAGAAATTCTCCTTTCTGGAGGGTGGGGAGGGACAGAAAACTGGAGGCTGCTACACATACTTAAAGAGATATTATTGAAATTATCAATAAATATTCTACTCTTATATTAATGTATAAAATTTTGTATTGGTTTTGTAAGTTCTCAAAAGGATTTATCACACTTTTACTCCTTCTAACTTTATTCTTTATTCTGTATTTTAGGGGACAAAATCAATGGCACTATGAATAACGATTTTTTATTCATTTCAACATCTTGATTTGATTTTAGTCATTTCTTGAGTACACGTTTGTTTAATAGAAAGATGTGATTGGGAATATACATGAATGTCATTGATTATTGGAGGGAGACGATCGACTAATTTTACATGTAATACCACTATTTGAATATTGTTCTGTCATCTGTAAGTGGACGTCTCTGATCTTGGAATAATTGCCTTCTTCACGATGCCCAAGTCATATATATACCGTCTTTATTTTATTTGACTTGTTTATCATTTATTGGCTTGTTATGGCTGAAGTTTTAGCAGTGATGGTTAGTTATTTTCTAATATTAATATGGGCATTCTTTGAATCTAGTGTTAGAAAAATTACTTGTGTGTCCATTTGAGAGAGGGATGGGGTTAACATCCACTCGGCATAAACTTTAACTACTGGTATGTCATTTTAGGACTTACATGGTGTACTTGTATTTCAATAATTCGCTTGCATACAGGGATCTTTATATGTGGGAGAAAACAAGAAAACTCATGAGGTTAGGAAAGCTGCCGTATTCCTTGCTGTGTAAAAGCATGGGATGCAATCCATGACTTGCATAGATAACAGGTCTTATAACTTGTACACTTATTAGAACACTGGTGTTGTGCATGATAGATTCAATGGGTAATTGAAGTGATAGATTTGAAATGGTTTTCAGAAGCTGAAGTTACATATAGCAGAAGGAAACCATGTCGCAAGAGATACTAGCAAGATTACCTGATGAGTTATTTATATCCAAAAGTAAGATAGTCATGTGATCTGCCTAGATAACTTTAAAGTGGTATATATGTGTGTCATCTATGATCATCATAAAAATCGAGTTGAGAAATCTTTTTTTTAGCTTTTGGATATTACAGTAGTTTAAGAAATACATGTATTTTGTGTTGACTTAAGGGTGGTATATTTTATATAGTCCACTTCAATAATTTGTTTGAGAAGTGCGTCTACACATGATCAATTTTGATAAATAATAATGTAAACATAAAGTGATATATAGACAATATATCTTTGGTAGGCTCAAAGTAAACTATAACTTTTCTCTACCTAGTTATTATGTCTATTTCTATCTCATACATGTATATCAAATCCCTGTAATTGTCTGTCACATGAACTTTACCACATGTCAAATAAAATCTAAACTATAACACATACTTACATGTATGGAAGAACAATTACTGATTTATTTAGGCGAATTTTCGAAGAGTATTCTCTTGGAAACGTTGCCTAAATAAATCAGTAATTGTTCTTCCATAAGTATGTTTTATAGTTTATTATTCTATCCAGTTATAATGTAAATGCATCTAAAAGATTAAATAAATCTACATAATTTATGTTCACTATATTTCGTACATGTGTAGATAATTGTAATGTTCACACAATTGTTACGAACAATGCATGCAGTGTACAAATAATTCAGAGTCACATTTTGAGTGGTCTAGAACAAAACAAAGCATTAAATATTTTGATGCTGATTCCGATAATTGGTCAAATTGGCCAGGCTTAGGTCCCAACTGTACAGGAAATGCTTTAATCTACAGAAGAAAACAAATTAATGATTTTTTTGATTTTTTTTAGGCTCTCAGTTAAGCTAGAACACCATTGAGAACCTCAATCTTGATTGAGGAGAGGTTTTTATCATGCAATTGTCAGCTGAATATTGCTCCCCGTGATTTTCATGCTTTATTTTATAGCATTGACAAGTGGTCAAAACCCTCTATGCAATTGTGTATACTACCTAGAGTCAAGTCCTGGCTTTATAGACTCTAAATCTTGTACTAAGTGTCTCTGACTTACGAATGAAAGGAATTGCTCTCCTTATCATTATATTACTCTCCTTTACCAAATCTCTCATCTTGTCCAAACTTGGGGTGTCTTTTTAGTTTTTAAGAGAGCAATTTCTGACCTTTGAAAATTAAGGAGAGCTCTTATCAGCTCACCAGCCAAATATAGAAATCAATGGCTGCCAGATTTTTTTATTATTATTATTTTCAGGATTACATTGAGTTAGTTTCTAAATGACACAAACACAAGAGATAATTGACAGAATAAGGAGGACTGGATAAATAAGTTGTTTCATGTTGATGAAAAAACAGGATTTTGCAGTCTAATCATCATAACATATTTCTTGTCTGTTTTCAGGCTGTTCAGCGAGCAACTAATGTGGTGTTCCAGTCTCATCATGTCTCCAGAGATAAGAGAGGGAAGGCAATTGGAAGCAAATCCGGATTCCGTGGTTGCACAATATGGCTGACAGGTCTGTCTGGTGCTGGTAAAACCACCATTTCCTTTGCTCTAGAAGAATATTTGGTATCCCAGGGAATACCGGCCTACAGCTTGGATGGAGATAACGTGAGAACTGGGTTGAATAAAAATCTTGGATTCACCCCAGAAGATCGTGAAGAAAATATCCGGCGTATATCTGAGGTGTCCAAATTATTTGCTGATGGTGGTATAATCTGTATTTCAAGTTTTATCAGTCCTTATGCAAAGGTATGTGATCAATGATTGCAACAGTATTGATTTATGTGCATCATTTATGTGCATTTATTTTTCTTTTTGTGTGTCTGTGTGTCGCTTACAGTTCGCAATTCTTGTGTTTTTTGTCTACAGACTGGAATTCTAAATGGATCATCTTGGAACGTTGCATATTTATTCCTTATAGTTATACTATAAGGATAGCAATTATTTATTTAGGTGCGATAATTAACAGATTTTGTTCAAATTCAGCATATCAATCATTTCAATAACAGGGTGGTACCTATTTATATTGTTCCATATCCAACCCCCAGGGGCAGAGCCACGCTCAATTTTTGTATTTATCATCTACAGACTGCAATTCAAAATGGATCATCTTGGAAGTTTGCATATTTATTCCTTATACCATAAAGACAGCAACTATTTATTTTGTTAATATTTTGTCTGTAAATTTGGCAAAACAAACCCAACGCCTAGCTTTCTATGCCTCTTGTCATATTACAGCCATTTCATATTTCAATAATTTCATTCTCTTCATTTTAAAAAGTAACATATCAATCAAAGCAGGAATGTGGATGTATATTGCAGCTTTAGCAATGTTCTTGTTTTAATAGAGGAATTGTATTGAGCATTAATTGGTTACTGGTTAATCACAATAGTTTATTTCATAAAGCATGTTGATGTAACATCTTTGTATGCAATATTGTTCCTCAGGATTTTTCGTCGTGGTTTTCCCTTGTCAGTGGTGCAGGACAGAAGAGTCTGAAAAGGAAAAATATCAAGTCTTTCTGATGCATATGAAATATGAGGTCCAATGTACACTTTGACGTGCACAAAAAAGAAACTTTGACAATGTGTAGGCTGTAGCACCACTGGCATATGCATCTCTTTATTATCCCAGATGAAGCCGAAAGGTTGAATGTTTATAAACCTTTTTCCATTTCATTTCATTTTAAAATTTTTTACATTTTGCTCTTTATTTTAACAAGCAAATAATTTTACATTCTTAATAAATTTTTGAATAAGTGAGTGGTATTTACATGTATTTGTTTGTCTGTTTTAAACTAGGATCGTGATGAAGCTCGAAGGTTACACGAACAAGCTGGTTTGAATTTCTTTGAGTGCTATGTTAATACCCCAATCAATATTTGTGAAGAAAGAGATGTTAAAGGTTTATATAAGAAAGCTCGAGCGGGCCAGATAAAAGGTAAGATAGTCTTTAATAACAGTTCTAATTACTGATCAATCTGTTCTTAGGGACGGCTAGAAACTCAATTATTACGGGCTTTTCTTCTTTTATAGATAGATCAATATTGTAATTATTAAATAAGTTTCTTGTACCTACTTGTCTGCAAAGTAAATGACAGGGGAGGGAGAAATAAATCAGTAGCAAACAAATCCCAAATAAGTGCAAAGCTGTTTAAGAATGTAACTCTGTGCATGCATATTCCCACTTTGCCACCCAGTTAGAATTCGGGAGTGAGGTGACACCCTGAACTAATGTACACAGGTAAATTAATTGTCTTCTTGTTCAGATGTAAGTAATTTAGTCAAATGTATTTTTTATATTAAATTGAGGAAAACAAGGGAGTCAACAGTTTTATGTCCCTTTCCATGATGGAAGTGGTTTTACATAGTAGAATGGGAATTAACTCTTTTACTATGGTACCAGTACTTTCTTCTTCAAAGTATAAATATTTCCGACTTTATTGATCTTTAAAATTTTGAAAAAAACCCAACATTGTTAACTTTATATTTTATACATTGAGTATATGTCAACATAACAGAAGATCAATACATAACTGTACAAGTAACATCTGGTATTCCAATGTCTTTTGTTGATAAAATAAATAATACATCTGGCGGTTCACACATAATGGTAGCTTTTATTTATTGGCCCCTGCCTTTAGAAGAAAGCAGAGGACTATTAACATGGTTTCGTCCGTCTGTCTGTCTGTCCGTCACACTTTTTGGAACGCAATAACTCTATTTCTAATTGAATTAGAATGTTCAAACTTGGTGTAGGTGTTTATTGGGTCAATGCCTTGATGGAGTTCGAAGATGAGCATTTTCTGCTTTAGGTAAGCAGAGATAAGCAATTTGATTGGTTGATGCTTTGGGACATGATAACTTTAGTTCTAATTAAAGTTACAATTTCATATTTTCTAAGAAAGTCAAAACTTAATTATTTCTATTTCTTTTGCTCAATAGGTTGTCAACTCACTATTATAGGATCATAGGTGACATTCTCCCACTTAAAACTCATTTACACCGAAAATAATAACACAATTACCTCCCAATTACCTCCCTTGTTTTCTATTCTCCACCACGGAGTAGCTATCTTCAAACGTTTGAATTGGAAGTTGAAAATGATATTTTTGCCAATTTCTCAACTAGCAATAGTGAATTATAGGATTATTCTTTAACAGGGTAGGCTTATAGATACCATCTATTTTAGGGCTTTATTTTCATATATTTTTAAAATATAACTTAAAAATATGAAATTGTAACTTTAAGTGAAAGTGATGAAATTTGGTGTATAGTTTCATTACATCAATACCTTTACTAAGTTCGATAATGAGCATTTTCTGCTCACGGTAAGCAGAGTGATAAGCAATTTGATTGGCCGAGACTTTGGAACACAATAACTCTCCTTCTAATTGAGCTAGAATGTGCGATTAATTAATGTGTCATCTATTTATTTTGGGATTTCGGCGGGGGACATCAACCAAACTGTTGTCTTGTTTTTATCTGTGGTGGCTCAGTTAGTAAGGCACGGGCTCCATAACCTGGAGACTTTGAAAGTTCCTCAGGATTTTCCGGTGTGGTTCACCTTGGTATGCATATAAAAAAAACCTTGACGACAGTTGGAATTCAATTACTGTCTGGGCAAAATTTCCCTTATAACACACTGTATGGTATATGCATGTTTTCATTAACCCAGGTTAGCACGTGCGTGCTGTATCATAAAGCCTGTCATTGAGTCAACTGGCGTGGTTTCGAATCCCCGGTTGTATGTGACAAGGAGTAGGGTTGCCTGTCCAACCTCGTGGGTTTTCTCCAGTCCTCCGGTTTCCTCCCACTGCTAAAGACCCCTACGCGCATGCTAATTATTGAAATAAAATTAAACCATATGTTAGTCCCAAAATGACCTAGTTTGTGTCGAGTGGACCTTAAACCCCATTTCTCTCTCTCTCTCATTGACCCAGTATGTGCTGAAAATAGGATGTTAAAAATCATATATATAGTAATTCAATTATTTCTATCAACTGTCAAGACCTGTCTAGTTTTTATACGCCCACATTGAAATGTGGTCGTACATTGTCTTCGCCCCCGTCCACAAGCTCTAGAGGCTAAAGTTAATATCCGATTGACTTTAAATTTATACACAGTGTTTAAGGTCATGAGACGAAGAAGCCTATTGATTTTCAGTGATTTCCGATAATTACTACCAAACTTATGGCCCTTGATCACTTTGAAAAAACTTGTGACATTCTAGAGGCTAAAGTTATCATCCGATTGACTTCAGATTGATAATTACTTCATGAGTTGTTACTCTTAATCAGTTTTTTAGTGTATTATAAATGTTTCATTACCAAAAAAAGTAAAAAATATGCGACAACACTTGTTGACTGCCCGAATGATTTAGCTGCTGTGGGCGTATGTTTCGTTGCCTGGCAACCTATCTTTGTTTATTATGAAGTGTTTGATCAATAAACAAGAATGTTTGATTATTTAAATTTTAGCTACATAGTTACAATTGAACATTTCACATATAAACAACGATTACTTCAACATAATATATCGTTTCAAATTTACAGATTGTATTAAATTGATTGAATTTTTAAAATGGTGTTTGGTGTCAGTTACAAGTCTGTGAAGATAATATATCATTTCCATTGAGTTAAATAATGTTAAAGGCATATAGCCCTATTCGTTGGAACATTAATGTAATATGAATATGTTTTTCTTTGTTCATTACAAATTGAAACCGAAAACCATAGAATACATGACTCATGTACTGATTATAAATTGTGTGTTAAATATTGGATATTAGGATCTCAAATTTCCACAGCAAGATAACAACATCAATATTGATTGAAATGGACCAATTTTGAATTTTAATTCTTGTTTTTACCGGTACATTTAGTGTGAGAAAAATTACGAAATCGGCCATGCAACAATGCATATGGTATTGCTATATGGCGGTATATTGGATTCAAAATTTTAAATTTATTAATGTTCTACTATCGTCTATAATTTCTAACTTCTATTCATGTAATTTTTAAGTTAAGGGGAGGCAAGGGTCGACAAATGTCAATTTTGACTCAAATTATCGATTTTTTATATTTGCATATTTGTGATGTTCATTCATTTTTATTTCACTTGTAATTAAAGAAAATACATATAAAGTGGTTTATGATAGAAAAAATGCACTTTTGAACACTCTTGCAATTCAAATTTTGCTGTTTTACCTCTTTATGTCTTAATTTCTCAAAAAGTAAAATATCAACAGTCGACAACCTTACAAAAAATCGTTCTTGAAAAGTTTACAACAGATATGTCTGAAACTTACACACATACTTAAGTAATGTTAGTTCCATGCAAATAAGGATTTTCAGTACTCTAAATGAATTTTTAGTGTAGTAAATTGGCATTTGAAATCTCTCATTGAAAACAACATTTTTCATAATTTTTGTTTTGTTGAATAGAATGACATGCAAGGACACAATAACAACACCATATTGATAATTGCACAGAGAAATGTCCTAGGAACATTTTAAAAAAAGTTCCAGACTTCTACCTTTGATACTTTCAGAGAACGATTTTTTTTAAGCAGTAAAAATGATTTTTTTTGTTTCCATGGTAACCAGTAAAGCAAATTCCCCCAAAACTGCCGATTAGCCTATTTTGTCGATGTGAACAATTCCTGAAAATTTCAAGTTGATAGCATTATTAGAAGCCAGTTATTTTAAAATTCATATTTGTCAAGCAGTGCCTCCCCTTAAGGCAATGTATAATCCAATTTCTTTATTTGTTTAGTGAAATATTAATTCTCTTTCATCTTATTTATTTCTATTATTAAGACGAAAACTTCATCGCGATCCACATGAACAGATTATCCCAGTCTCCTTTAAAGGCTGTTTCATCCCTATAATTGGGGTTTCTAAACGTTATATCATGTTTATCATCATAAAGTGTCATATTTTTTTTAAAGCAGTAATAGAGTATAGATCAACAGTATGTAAATATTAATCAAATAAAAAATCTCCAAATCCTGCACTTGTCTTCAAAAAAATGAACAAATATTGTATAGCCTATTTGACATAGTATTTGAAAAATATATCATGTTCGATGTTGTTTTCAATTTTAACACTCCATCAAACCATTCAGCCAGGCAAAGAACGAGTCCCTTATATTATCACAATGTTTCCGATCAGACGCTTAATCACCAAATTGAGCACGATCTGGCGACACTAAACGACTTCACAATGATGGTTGCCGGGTAGAAATGTCACATTCCTAAATTTGTTCGATGTTCATGCTAAACATGTAAAGCGTCAACGAAGTAGACATGTTTCGTCTTAATAATAGAAATAAGATGAAACAGAATTAAAATTTACACTGAACAAATAAAAAAATTGGATTATATACATTGTCTTATTTTACAAAATACATGAATAGAAGTTAGAAATTAGACGATAGCACGACATTAACAAATTTAAGACTTTGAATCCAATATATTGCCATAAAGTAGACATGTTTCGTCTTAATAATAGAAATAAGATGAAACAGAATTAAAATTTACGCTGAACAAAGAAAGAAATTGGATTATACATTGTCTTATTTTACAAAATACATGAATAGAAGTTAGAAATTAGACGATAGCACGGCATTAACAAATTTGAGACTTTGAATCCAATATATTGCCATAATGTTATACCACATGATTTTGAAACTTACATTAGATCATGTTTACATTCCCATTTTGTCTGCATGGGTAATATTGGGGTATTAAATATTTTATAAATTGTTCATGTAGTAATTCTTGTCTTTCAGGATTTACTGGTGTGGATGCCGCTTATGAAATTCCAGACAATCCTGATGTAACCTTGAAAGCTGGCCATGTATCTGTGGATGAATGTGTTCAAGAAGTTGTTACAATTTTAACTGAAAGGGTAATTATTGAATTATTTTATATGACAAATAAAACATTAACCACATGTATATTGATTTTAACTAAAAGGTAATTATTCAGTTATATGACAAATAAAACAGTAACCACATATTGATTTTAACTAAAAGGTAGTTATTAAATTATATGACAAATAAATTAGTAACTCCATATTGATAAGCATAATGTAAAGTATATAATTATCCCATATATTTATATCATTGTTAAGCTATCTGGCGGGACACCCTTGGTTTTGAGGATGAATTCCTTGTGCAGTGAACCATGCAAGTCAAAGTTTTGTCAGTAGAATTCACCTTAATGATGAGAAAATATATGGTTGCTAATTGCAAGGGGTGATTGAATAGCTTTAACTTTAAAGGGTATATGACTCTATTCTATGGAAATTTAAAATAGAGGAAATTGTTCGAAAAGCCCATATTCATGTAATATGAGTGTAAATAAACTGATTTACATTCAGTTTTGTAAAGTTTTTATTGTAATTGCTAATCAGATATGTTCATTGAAATATGTGAGCAACCCATGGTTAGTTCATTCTACAAGTTTATCTCCTTTCTGTTAGTGGTTTGGGGATCAGTCAATTTTAATTATTTCTTCATTTGCTTGTGAGATATATTTGCTTTGTCCAACAATTCTTCCTATTACAAATTGCAACGAAGACCATAGGAACTGATTTTAAAATGTTCCTTGTGTCTTAGATATTGGATATCAGGAGCATGTATTTTCACGGTAAGAATAAGATAACATCAGTATCGAATTTATCGATTGCAATTCACCAATATTGAATTATGGATAATATTGAGGTAGAGCTATATGCCCTTTTATTTTGGGCAGTAATTATAGAGATATTATTAAATTGCATTGTTTATATTAATGTATTGTAGAATATTGTACCTGCATCAGCTGTAAGAGCTGTTAAAGAATTGTTTGTACCTAAAAATCGTGTGGAAGCTGTTAGAGCTGAAGCTGAAAGTCTTCCATGTGTTGATATATCAAAGGTAAAAAAAATACAAATTACTTTAAGATTTGATTGGTAAATATAGTAAAAAGTATATATATATATATATTAATATTAATATTAAAAAAAGAATTTGAACTTTTATATATTGTGGACAGCATCTTTAAAGAAAACAGCTTACTTTCAGCTGGATTGTCAATGGACTCAAGTTTTATCAGAAGGTTGGGCTTCTCCTCTAAATGGTTTTATGAGAGAAAAGGAATATTTACAATCTCAACATTTTGGATGTTTGTTAGATGGTAAGTGTTTAAAGAGGCCTTTTGTTAGTGGCATCCATTTCAACCTCTAACTATTATTTATGCATGAAGGAAGTGAAAGAAATAAACATAGATAATATTCCCTCGACAATATTCCTATTGAGCAAAGTCGGCCATGTATACAATTACTGTATTTGACTGAATAAGCACACATGAGTGCACATCAACCATATCATTCCTTGAAAAACTATCACAACTTGGAATTTGACACGATTGCATTCCTCTATAAGGCGTCATATAGAGGAATTTTGATGAGAATTTTCTGCTTAGGCTAAGGAGCGATAAGCAGTTTGATTGGTAAAGACTTTGGAACATAACAAGTCTGCTTTTAATTGAGGTAGAATGTTTAGACTTGATGTTGATGTTCATTAGGTGAATGTCTTGACTGAGTTAATGATTAACATTTCCTGCTAAAGCTCAGCAGAGCTAAGCAATTTCTTTGATTATGAATCTATCTGATAGAGAATGATGAAACTTAGTGTATAGTTGATACTTTTGAAAAAGATAAAAGTACAATTAATTAATATGTGTCCTCTATATATTTCCAGATTTCAGTGGGGGACATCAGTCTCACTGTTGGCTTGTTCAATAAAATATTGTATGTAAAATGAAATGTTATATAACCTATTTAATTGTGTTATTAAAGGCGGTGTGACTAATCAGTCAGTACCTATTGTATTACCTGTTTGTTGTGAAGATAAAGAGAAACTAGAGGGCTGTCAGGCGTTTGCGTTACGATATGAAGGGAAGCGGATAGCAGTGTTACGAAATCCTGATTTCTATAAACATAATAAAGAAGAGAGATGCTGTCGTCAGTTTGGGACGAGCAATGGAAATCATCCATATGTGAAGGTACAAACATTTTATTGCTTTTAGATGGATAGTTCACATAGCTACAATTAACATTTAACTTCTTAAAATAAAAATTTAAAACAGAAAGTGCAATGGTAGCTATTGGAGCTTTTTTTTTTTAACAAATGAGAAAAGTATAAATGCATACCCTGTCTCATGGGCAACACCTGTCACTACATACAGTTAATTAGACTTCTAAATGCCACTTGGATATCAATATTATATTTAAGAATGTTTAATTATTCTATTTTACAGATGATATATACGAGTGGTGATTGGCTGGCAGGAGGAGATTTGGAGGTATTGGAAAGAATTGTCTGGAATGATGGATTGGATGAATACCGCTTAACTCCAAAGGAATTACGCTTGCGGTTTAGAGCACTAAATGTAGGTTACAACAAGAAACCTAAGGCTTTAAAAGGAAAAAAACTATAAGAACCATATCCCATGTCCATTGTCCGCCCCCAACAGCTACTTTTTCATTAATAATACTATCATACAAATTAAGTTTTATATAGAAGTCTGTTGATTAAGTATCTGTCTTAATACCCCTGATCATTGTCCCTTGCTAAAAAATCTCTTCCTAAAACTGAATCTGTATCCCTTATTTGTCTGTGCCACATAATTTATAAAATTATTTGATGAAAAAACTCATACTGATCGTTTAATTTACACTACCTATCTTTACTACCCAAAATGTAGAAGAAGTCAGTAGTTGACTTGTCAACAATACTAGTTGACTGATCAATATACTGTGATCTTTATTTAACAGGGCATTGTATTTTCTGTTTTGATGTGTTTATAAATATTTTATTCTCTATTTTAAATAAGATTCAACTCTAATTCATGTAAATTTTATTTGTTTGTTTCAGGCAGATGCAGTGTTTGCCTTTCAGTTGAGAAATCCAATTCATAATGGTCATGCTTTATTGATGAAAGATACTAAGAGAAGATTACTAGAACAGGGCTATAAAAAGCCAGTTTTATTGTTACATCCATTAGGTAAGATATAATTATCTCTTTGTATACAGTTTTGCAGATGCAGATATGCTAGCTGTGCTCTCATTTTTGCGACATGCATGCTTGAATATATCTATGTAATGTGTCTTTTCAAGTTGACATCAAGTTGATGATTTACTGCCACTGTTTAGCATCCTAGCAAGTGAAATATTTGAAGGATTTACCATATGGTAGTTCTAAAATGATATAGTTATGTTAAATGATATGTGGTAAATAATTGAATGAAAAGTTTTTTATGTCAACCAAAGAGTTCATCAGCAGTATAATAGCCTGATCATTTTTGGACCAGGAATTATTCCCCAAGTGCTACTTGTTCTTCTTGGGGGTGACTCTCTTTAAAATATACCTGCCAATATTTCTGCCAATTCCAGTATGATGGACACAAAACTTAGCATGTTTGTTCCTTGGACAATTGTGCATTGATTGACTTTATAATTCCAAGATGTTATGCTCAGTTCCTGGTCCATATAGTACATTGTAATGTATCATTTTTTCCGATTTATTAATATATTAATTGTTAAATAGGTGGCTGGACAAAAGATGATGATGTACCATTACCAGTAAGAATACAGCAACATCAAGCTATATTAGAGGAACGGGTGTTAGATCCAGATTCTACAGTATTAGCTATATTTCCTTCACCTATGATGTATGCAGGGCCAACAGAGGTACACATCAAGGACTTTTAATTACATGTTTAGTTTGAAAAACAATTGTACATATATGAGATAGTAAATTTAGTATTACATGTATCATGGTAAACTTGCAATTGGTACACTTTGTATTACATGTAATATGGTATAGTTGGTACACTTTGTATTACACGTACATGTATTATGGTACACTTGGTATTACAATCTTGTGCATTATACTAGTATCTTGTATCAAAAGCTGCCATTGTTTAACATGAGGGGAAGGTTAGAGTTTGACCCTGAGTTTATGAGGAGTAGGATCACCTGCTAAACCACTTATGTTTTCTTCAGAGTTTTCTCCACGTTCTTTGTTAGAATTCTTACATTTCTTGTTCATTTTACTACAGGTACAGTGGCATGCTAAAGCAAGAATGTGTACAGGAGCAAATTTCTATATAGTTGGACGAGATCCTGCTGGAATGCCACATCCTGATGGAGGCAGGGATTTATATGATCCAACACATGGTGCCAAGGTAAGAGTAATTTATTTTAGTAAAAAGGCAATGCTTGGTAAAGATTAAGTGTGACTTAGATGGACAGGACTCGAAGAAAATTTCAGATTACACTAAAATACAGATGTCATGTCATCCTTCACAATTTTGGTGAACCATATCAAATAATGTATGCACAATATGTCAATCGTACAAAATTAGACTAGATGAAATATTGGATCGTGTGACAATTTCATTGAAATTAATGCATGTGCAGGATCGTGTCTATAGTTTAAATTGTTTAATCGTCTCGAGGAAGTCATTGCATAATATACTCTTCCAAAAAAGTAGGGGATATTGAAATGCAAATACCTATGCAGGTTGTGATATGATAAATAGTCATAGACACTTTGACATGCTTTCAGAGTATGTTCACAGATGAAGAACTTATCGCCCCAACAGAACCACTGAGCTGCATGTGCGACACGCAGTAGCGCCATACACGTGGGAGGGGTGCATTGTCAAATTTGACACTTCAAGGAAGGGTTGATGAAAACTGCCGCTTGCTGCTGGTTTATCCTATTTATGTTTGCTTTCCTATTGGTTCTTGCATAAGATTAACTATTTAGCGTATCTTTGCTTTAGTTTGTTACGTTTAATTTGATCGGGGGGGGGGGGGGATAGCCGAATGGTTTGCATGGGCGCCATTGAGTCAACTGGCGGGGTTTCGATTTCCCAGTTGTACGTGACAAGGAGTAGGGTCGCCTGTCCAACCTCGTGGATTTTCTCCGGGTCCTCCGGTTTCCTCCCACTGCTAAAGACCCCTACGCGCAAGCGAATTATTGAAATAAAAAAAAATAAACCATATGTTAGTTCCGAAATGACCTAGTTTGTGTCGAGTGGACGTTAAACGCCATTTCTCTCTCTCTCTTAATTTGATCGGGAGATGTGTTCATCGACGTCAGTGTCAACCAACAACACTGCAAGAATTGGCCGTGGCACTGCAAGAGGAGTGGGTCAAATTGCCCCAAATCGTGATTGGACGGTTGATTAGGAGCATGCCACGACGAATTGCTGAATGTCTGAGGATTGGTGGAGCAATTACTCATTATTAAGACAAAAATCAAAAACGTCCATTTTCACTTTTGACAGTGTATCTCTTTGCGAGTGAAATGGGGCCGTCAGATAAGCCGCCCATATGAACTGTTTATGTTCATGTGAAGGCAATTAGCCTGTTATTACCATACACTGGTTACTTCTAATAAAAACAGCAGTATATTTCCGCAGTTTTGTATTGTTTCTGAATATCCCCCACTTTTTTTGAAGAGTATATATTGAAACAACAATCAGGTTATTGCCCTTGTGCAACAGAATCATTATATTACTTAATGTCTTGCTCTTGACCATTAAACCACACTTAATGCAAGACACAACAAATTTAGTATACGTCTAATGTTTGTTCAACACACTTAAAACCCAGAAAATAAAAATTCCTCATATTGTATGTTTTATTTCGCTGCAGGTACTAACAATGGCACCAGGTTTAACACAGTTAGAAATAGTTCCATTCAGAGTCGCAGCTTATAACACAAAACACAAAAAGATGGACTTCTTCAATCCAGAGAAAAAAGAAGAATTTGATTTCATTTCTGGAACTCGTATGAGAAAGCTTGCAAGAGAAGGAGAAAATCCACCAGACGGTTTCATGGCACCTAAGGCGTGGAAAATCCTCTCAGATTATTATCTTAAATCTGCTAAACAATAACAAAGACACACCCTAGTTGTAGCGCACGTATATTGGTAAAACATAGTTTAGAGGTCTTATTATACAACTATTTGTTAGCTTGATATTTAATTATAGTATCAACCTCTACAATAATTATTCCAGAGAGTCTTCAATATAAAACCAATCACAGCCAAACCCAGTTTCAAAACTATTAATAATTATGTATAAATCAAGTTAATTTTAAGTGAAAATACAGTAATTAAAAACTTACTGGTTATTATATTTTAAGAGATCTATGACCAACCCAAATGAATTAAACAAACTACTATGAATTGTAGAGTTTGATATAATAAAAAAATGTCTTAATATATGCAAACATTGGGTATATATCCTTAATCGAAATTAATCTAAAATTCTTTTGGTTATAATTGTGTTCTTGTAAAATCTATGAACAATAGAATTAAGTAATGTGAAATATTTTTGTGAAAAACTTTTATATAAAACCGTAGTTTTCAATAATATATTTTTCATTTGGCAATTTTACTTGATTTTTTTTTATTCCACATGAGTATGTATGTAACTCATAAATACAATTTATATACATGTTGTATGTTGTTTATTATTCGGTCTATGATGGAAACAAATGAATTTAAATTTAGTGCAATATTTTTTATAAAGTTCACAGCAATTGTATATAAATCAAAATCAGTTCATTTTAAAATTGTTTTAAAGATATACAAATCCACATGTCTAATATTGGGATCAATATTTATTTTTATTTGGTATTATTCTAGCTACACATTTAGTCTTATGAGTGCTATTTTACACGCTAACTTGGGAACAAAATTTGATGTTTGTAATCTCTGATATTGATTATGAGCTTTACGCCGAATATGTTATATTAATAATGTATGTGATAGAAAAAAAGGCTACAAATAAATCAATGTGGGAAATCAATATTATTTGTATGTTTATTTTTGGAATGTTATAAATATGCATGGATCTATTTCTTCTCAAATTCTCAGTTGAATAACTTGGATATTGTTTCAGTTAAGACAGTAGTACTCTGCTTTGATAGGAAATGTGTAATTAGGTATTTACTTAATTATTGAAATATTATGACAACAGCAAGGTCATACGGGTAGTTCTTTATAAACCATTTCAAAAGAGTACAATAACACTCTTTAGGTTAGTTTTCCTGGTATTAATGTTGTCAGTTACAGTATAGAAATGCTGTACAGACTAAATTGCCAGTTGGTATATATAGGGCCTCCACAGTGCCCCCTCAAGCAGAATTTCAAAAAGCTTCTTCGTCTCATGAACATAAATGCTTTATGACCATTTCAAGTTAATTGGATGAAACATACATCTTATTACAGCATGACAGCTTTGCGATAATTCTGACAAATTTTAAATCCATTAAAATTACATTCTACAGAAGTGTACTATTGCTGTTAAAGGGTGTCATGTAAATTGAAGAAAACACTAGTAATATCTAAAGACAAAAAGTCTTGACTTCTCCATTCATGTGCCTATCACTGCTGCCTATACCACCTTTGGCTCCACTATTGGGTCTCTAATCCAAGTGGTGTCTCCCACATTAATCTTATCAGTCACATTATATGGGAATATGGTATAGACCAAATTTATATCTCCAATCATATCAGTTGATTGATGATTCCAACCTAATTCTCTGATAAAACGTAGACATAATTTCTAATGTCCTACACCCAGAAGTGGTTTACAGTTTTTCCCGGTAAAATGGTTAAATTTGGTTAATATATTCAGCTCTGTGTTATACATCTCCCTCCACTGTTTCTGTGTTTCGTGGTCATAACCTATCAGATGGCATATTCCATGTGTCACCATTACCTAATTAAAAAAAACATTTTTGTAATTTACCAACATCAAAGACATACCGCTATGACACATTTGTTCATTACCTGGCCAGCAGCTCGATTTCCTGTATTAATGACAGCATTCAACTCAATATTATCCTTAATATAAGAATTTAAAAACACGAATTAGAATTCAATATTGGTCCATTTCAATCAATATTAGTGTTTTTATCTTATTGTGATAAAATATGGGATCCTGATATCTAATATTTAAGACATTTTAAAATCAGTACACAAGTACTCTATGGACTTAATGGTTCATTAATGGTTAATAAACAAAGAAAAACATATCCCAGAAGGCAAAGCAGAAGTAATTAAAAACGGCTGATTCACAAACAAGATAATTAAAAAAAAAAATTTGTAGAATGAACTAAGCAGATCGCGTATTTCAATAAACATAATTGATTAGAAATTACAATAAAATTTGTAAATCACTTTGTATACACTCATATTACATTAATATGTGCTTTAGACCAACTTCTACCTCTTTTAAGGTTCCTAATAATAGAGGTCTACACCCTTTAATTTAAGGAAAATTTGGTGAAAAGATTCTGAATTTACATCTAATGTTTGACCAAATTCTGATATCAAATAGGTTTTTTTTAGTAGTATAGTCTGATGTCATTTGTTTTAAAGAATGCCATCCCTTGTATGAACTACAGTGTCTAGACATGTTGTGTTATAGGCAAGGTGTTAAGAACAATTCCTATTTTATTATTCACTATGCTGCCCAGTGGCTACCAAAATATTAAATACATGTATAGAAAAAATCAACAATCACTCCCTACACTTATTGCACAAATAAAATATATTTGGACTTACTGGTAGAGTATTGCAGAGTTTTTCATTATTCTGTTTACATTGATCAGCTATATATGGTAAACACAACACAATATCTCCAAGTTGATTTAACTCAGTATTTGTATCTTCAAGACATGGCAGCTTACCTGGTACATCATACTAAAAACAATACTATAGTTCATCATTTATGTCTCTTATCCATTTGAATTAAACTAGAAGTAAAATTTGAATATATATTTCAAGATTCCACTTATATTATACACAACATTATTAAATATATTTATGGTACACTGGAGCCAAACTATAAAACTGCTGCAGTGTTATGGTCAACTGACTGCATATTCTTGGAACCATATTGACCACAACATAACCTTGAAACAAAAGAGAGTTTTTTTGTTTATGTTATTTATGGAAAATGCATCAAAAAGAAATTGTCCAGTAAACAGAACGAAGTATATGCAGATTGTAAACCAACTGGACTAATAAAGACAAATATACACCATGCAGTGTGCTATGAGTGAAATTATGCCAGAACAGCAGCATTTTTCCTGCTCTTTATCGAATTCAATGGGAACTCGTTTTCCTGTCCTATCCAAATAAATAGATGCTGTAATTCCTTCCCATACCACTGACAAGGGTGTGCCAGACTCCAAAAATGATAAAATTAGTGCCAGCCTCCAAAAATGATGAAATTAGTGAACAGAACCATTGCTAACTCATTGAGGCACTGTCGCCTACATGGCTCCCATTTCTTATTATAGCCTACTGTATAATTCTTCCATTTAAAAATTAAAATACAACATTTCTAAATTCTATAAGTATTTTCCATGTGAATAAGTTAAAGAAACCTTATGAAATGGGAATGCTAGAACATCTGTGGGTTCATCTAAACCCCTATACTTTCTGTTCAAACTCTGAATATATTCATTTTCCACACAAATTACAGACAGTTCATATTGATGCACTTGAAATAACTCTCGCAGAGTATTAATCTCATTTTTAAAAACTTGTACATCTAAATGAACGGCCTTCTGAACATTTCTTAGTATTAATGTCATTTTCTTAATATCTCTGATTTCTTTTCAAATAGTCAGTCAATTATAGTGACAGCTAGATAAATGTCTTGGCTTTGTTTGTAAACAAAACCACGTGCATTTGAAAACTACAAAAATATATTTAAAAAGGCCAATCACTGGTGAATTCAAATATAGATCGAGAGTCCAAATAGACTCATTGAGTCAACACCGATCGGCCGAGTTTAGTTAGAAAGCTCAATTCAAAACTTTCTCCAAACATAAAACTTTTAAGTGGCATCATAGATCGTATCAGTTCTATGGTGGCAAAAAGCGAGATTATCGGATTATCGAGACCAATGACAAAAAGACTAGCATGACAATCGAGTCTATAAAAAATAAAAGTGTTGTCTCCCCTGCACAAGCCGATTTGTTGTATTTTCCCTGTGGCTCATGCTACTGCGGTTCCTGTAAAAAAAAAATAGAAATATAGAAATGGCAGGGCAGAGGCGATATCCACAAACATTTGATGTATTTGTGGGTAATTTGCCGGAAGATGCTGATCAGGTTTCTATATTGATTCAGTTATATAGAGCATTAGATGAATGTCGGATGTCCATTTGTTCACTTGGTTACTCACGACTTTTGTCTCACGGGTCGGTCACCTGTTTTTCTTTTGTCATTGTCCGCACTGGAATGCTCGAAAAATCTGACACTTCCGGATCTCTGATAGCTTTTTATTTTTTACAGATGTGGGTCCGTGGGGGAGGGGTGGTAATGGAAACTATAGATCCTGTTAATTGCTCGTAATGTGAGTCACTTCACCAAAGTTTTTGATGATGAAAGGCACAACACATTATGAATTAGGCTAGTTGTTAGGCCTAGTAGGTACCACCACCACCACTAGGGTATACTATTATACCACAGGAGTCTGACCTTCTATCCGTATATATATGCATACATCATGCCCAAGCAGACAATATATATAATAAAAAAGAATATATTGTCTGGTTGGACATGGTGTATGCATATATATATACTGAGCGCCATGGAAAACGCATCACTGAGTTTTTCTTATAACAAAATGACCCTGTAAACATATCTTATTTATTTTGCTTCTTATTGTGAACAATATTCAAATGGGAACACATCAATAACAACACATTTGTACACTTATGGATGTTTAATCTGTAATCAAAGGTACAAAGTCAGAGGGGTCAAAACCAAAAGTATGACACAGATGTCAGTAGCGCGTGTGTCCTCTACGGGCTCTTTACGCACGCTGTGCAGCGACGTCGCATGGAATTTACCAATGTTTGAATGAAGGCCAGGGGCAAATTGTTCCATTCTTGGACAAGAGCAGCTTCTAAAGCAGCAATGATGTGCATCTGTGGTCTCCGATACAGACGGCTTCCAATCTCATCCCAGACATGTTCTATCGGTGCCATGTCCGGAGACATGGCTGGCCAGTCCAAGACATTGATGTTGTTAGCAGCCAGGTAGTCCATACTAAAACGGGCGGTATGCGGACGTGCATTATCCTGTTGGAAGTGCTGAAGTTGTGGGTGCGCTCGAAACACTGGAACAACAATTGGTTGCTAGACATCATCACGGTAGGCTACAGCATTAACGCGACCCCTGCAAATGTGTAGGGCGGTCCGGTGATGAAATGTGAAGCCTCCCCACACCCTTACACTTCCCCCACCCCATCGATTCATTTCGAAGACCCAGCAGTCTGCAAGACGTCTCCACACACGTTGACGGCCATCAGCGTGATAAAGATGAAAGCGACTCTCATCACTGAAGAACACACTTTGCCAGTCTACTCTTCTCCATGTCTGGTGACGTTGAGCCCATATCAAACGCCGCTGACGGTGATGATCCCTGAGGATAGCTCCAACATACGGTCGTCGTGCACGGGGTCCTACTTCTCTTAAAGGACGTCTTACGGTGTTGGCACTTACTGGGCCTTGTCTTCCGACAACCGCTGCACCTGTTCGAGTCGCTGGGCGGAATCTGTCACGCAGATGAGTGACCAGGATGTAGCGGTCTTGAGCCTGGGTTGTAATGTGTTGTGGACCAGGACGTTGACGGTCACGTGTTGATCCAGTAACTCGAACACGTTTCACCAACCTTACAATAGTGGACTGATGACATTTGAAGTGTCTGGCAATAGCACGTGTAGAAATGCCAGCCCTGTACATTCCCATGGCTTCATTCCGTTGATTTTCAGTAAGTCTCAGCATCTCTAGCTCGATTCCTTCACACGTCCAAAAACAAATTACGACAGATTGACGTTTCACAGTTCATGTACTGCACATTAAGTTGAAAACATGCTTTTTAAGGGCTCACACACAATACTGCATGTGAATATTGGGTTTTTCATGTGCATCTCGCGCACTTTTATTTTTTTTCACACAGGCCGATATTTTTTTGCGTTTGGGAGCATTGTGTGAAACAATAGTTCATAGTATTGCATAATATTATACATACAAAACCACCTAGTAATAAAATATTTGGGAAAAAAAAGTGATGCGTTCCATATGGCACTCAGTATATGTGGATAGGTCAGACACCTGTGATTATACATGTATAGCTAACCAATATTAGCTTTTACTTTAGTACACTCAAGTCACAATTTTAATTTGTACATACCAGAAACTATAATCATTGAATTACTGAATCATATGGTATCCAATCACTCAACCTCTGACTAAATGAAATGATATGAAATGGGGTTTAACGTCCTACTGTTCTGCTCCTAAACTGGGCTAATGAAGACGGGCATACGCCATACAGTGTGCTATGAGGGTAATTTTGCCCGTGTAGCAGCGCTACGGCCTACTCTTATATCGAATTCCAACTGCCAAGGGATCTTTTACTTGCATGCCAATATGTACATGGGACCTTGGTTTTTCATTCCATCCGAACGACTAGACAGCTGTCCTTGTCAGGTCCTCCGTCCTGCATCACTGACAAGGGGAAACCACAACCCCGGACTATGAACTAGGAAACATCATTTGATAACTCTTTTAGACACACCAAATAGAAATCCTGTTTGGAATTTAGTTACAGATAAATTTTTTAGGTGTATTCTCCACTGAATCCCATTTCAACCCTGTATTAAAGTATTCAGGATATACCATGTTGTGCACCATATTTGTCTATTTCTTACCTGTGACATAATTACCAACTGACATATATCAATAGCCAATATTTTAGTTCTTGATAAAATAAGGTAATGTCTACCTTTTCTCAGAATCCATGGATGGTAATCCCAGTCAGTCCACTTTAGGAGCCATCATGTGTTGCCATTGTAAAAGTGTGTATATCACATGATCATGATTGCTGTTTCTCATCATTCATTGACTATAGTTATTACATTATTTTAGGATATTTATTGGATTTCGGTGTATGACAATTGAAAGTTGTGTCATAGGTAGGCCCTAATTATACATTGAGAAAGATAGTCGGAAGGAGTGGGGGGTATTTCATGAGTTGTAATGAGATTTAGTGGAGGATGCAACCAAAGAATGGTAGCCAAGCAAATGGTCTATCTTTCATATCTTATCTTTAATAGATATTATTTTTATGAAATTGTAAATATTCACAATTGCAGAAGAAAGTTGGGAAGTTGTTTAACAAATATGGAGAAATAGCTGCCATTATTGTAAGAGATAGTAATCATCCAGGACAAAAATTAGCGTAAGTTTTTATATTAAAGTAAAATCAGGATTTTCTTCTTCTTTTTAAAGCTAATGATTTTTATTCATAGTGAAAACAGTGACTCTGTCATTGAATGACTCCAATATTGAATACTTCACATCAGGCACAATACTTGAGTTAAAAATTTGAAATAAAAACAAGAAATTGCTCCATAATTTTCTTGATTTATGTATTATTTTCAAGCTATGTGAAATACTTATGTGAAGAAGATGCCAAACGAGCAATTGAAGATGGAAATAAAATGGAAATTGGTCCAAATAAACTTATTGTTCGTAGAGCAGAACAACGCAAAAGGTAACTGTTTTAAAATGACAGGATTTCTTTGGTGTAAAAGCAGAATGTTGATTGTAAACAAAACTAGGAAAATAATGGGGAGTTGTTTATGACTCAAATATATATATTTTTGAAAATTTGGGCATGTAACATTTTAATTCTACACACAAATTATTTTGACTTTTTAAAAAGGCTAGTTTGCAAAAATCGTGATTTTTTCATAGTGTAGCTGTAGATATTGTATCGGTTCTACCACTTTAAAGATTTCTTTTACTACTTTAAAGATTTCTTTTACCAGCACCAGTACTTAATAGCTACAAAGCAGCATATTTTATGAAGCAGTAATCTGCATGTTATATATGTTTTATTTGTATTGTTGTAGACCTGGTGTTAATATGTCCGGTGGAATGATGAAAGATAAACCAGTTTTGCAAATGGGATTATCACAGAAAGAACCAGATCTAGGTACAGTTTATATTTAATGACGACATTTACGACATCTAGTATTTTATAGAAATTATAATATTTGGCAGATTACTAAAAAGGTGTGATAGTTTTCTACGTATCTGAGATTTGCTTTATCTAAATACTGAATCCCATTTTATTAAAGACTGTCACAAACTCCCTGTCTGAATGTTGTTAACTTATGACATTTTGGTTTTATACATATTTTTGTAAAAGAAATTTACTTGATCCCATAGAAGCACCATAATGAATAAATGTAGAATTTTCTTACAGAGAATTTATTAGTATATTGATAGTACTTAACCACCAATGCGCGATTAAACCGATTTTAATACGCCCACATTGAAATGTATCGTATATTGTTGTCGCCCCTGTCCGTCGGTCCGACGTCCACAATTACTTTGGACGCTCTAGAGGTCAAAGTTAATATCCGATTGACTTTAAATTTATACACAGTGTTTAAGGTCATGAGACGAAGAGGCCTATTGATTTTCAGCGATTTCCGATTATTACTGCCAGAGTTATGGCCCTTGAACACTTGTGGACGCTCTAGAGGCTAAAGTTAATATCTGATTGACTTTAAATTGATACACAGTGTTTAAGGTCATGAGACGAAGAATCCTATTGATTTTCAGCGATTGACTTTAAATTGATACAGTGTATTGATTTTCAATGAATCTTTATGACTTGAACAGCTAAATCCATGATGTTAAAAGTTACGTATACTAAATGTTAGCATGGGGCAGAACTTTATAAAAACTAAACAAATTCTAATGGTTTTCTGATAATTACTTAATGAGTTGTTACTCTTTATCAAATTTTAATGTATTATAAATGTTTCATTACCGGAAAAAGTAAAAATATTCGACAACTTTTGTTGACTGCCCGGACGATATAGCTGCTGTGGGCGTATGTTTCATTGCCTGGCAACCTATTTTTTTATTTTGTGTATGGTGCCACTTCTTTTTAGTTATTATTTAAATCATATAATTTCAGTTTCTAATATTGACACAGCCTCAAATTCTTCAAAAGACATGATGGAGGTTAGTTTATGGACATTTTTATCCTTTTATTATTAGGCTAAAATTTTTTTTTTTTTTTTTTGTGGTAGTAAAAAACAATAACAATTACTTACTCCTCATTTACAGGAATATGTTACTGTAACTCATGCTGAGACACCTATCACAGTGTTTGCTCAGACCTCTAATGAAGACAATCTCAAGGAAGTACAGAATGTCCTAACTCAATTGGCAGAACTTTGTCCGTCTGCTCCAAAATTATCAGGACCTGTGGAATATAGCAAGGTTGGTAAAATTTTGGTTCAGTTTTTAATCCTATGTCTTTGAAAGGAAATTTGTAATTTAGTAAGCTTTAAATACTTAGCTATTGCATATTTCCGTCCTATTATGTAGCTATTAAGATAAAGATATTTAACAGCTTTCATTGACGTTTCCAGAAATTTCAAGAACACTTGTCATTTTTCATTTATTTGTATACAAAGAAAACTAGTTTCTGTAATGAAACACATAATCCCACATTAATTTTTTCAGGTTTATGCATCCAAATTTTTTGAAGATAATCAATGGTATAGGTGTCAAGTGAAGCAGATACTTGGAACAGATAAAGTAAGTACCTTACTGATAATTAACTGACGAGGAAAAAAACAAGTTTTTGTAACTGAACATCAACTTCAGAGTAATCTGTGGTCTAAGAGGAGATAATATTACATTAGGGAGAATTATGCACAGTTACCTCCCCTTATATTTATGACCTGGAAAAACAATCACCTTTCTTCCAGTGATTATTTTAACTTTTGCATTGTTAAGAACAAGTTATTTAACTTATTTTCAGTTTATTTTGTGTATTTTGTAGGTAAAGATACAGTATATAGATTATGGAAATAGTGAAGAAATTGATCCCTCATCTTTAGTAGAAATACCTCAAGAAATTACAAACTATTCACCATTTGCTCAGAAATTAGTACTACACAACCTCAGATCAAAAGATCTCAGTTGTCCAAAGGTTATTTATTTTTATTTCATCCTTTTATATCGTTTGATAATTGATAAATATTTATTGCTTTATCATTATTTATTCATTTAGAATAAAATAAGATTTAAACCAATAACTACTTTCCCCTTTGACATATTACATCTATTTATTTATGTAGGGTATAGCTTTTTTACAAGAGTTAACTGTTGGAAAAGTTTTGCGTGCTATATTACGTCGTAGATTAACAGATGGTAGTGGTTATTATGCCGAATTATTTGAAGATGGTGAAAGTATTATAGACAAAGTGGTAGCTGAAGGTCACGGGGTCATCAGACAATTACAGAAACCAATAGGAATGGGAGATGATATGAAAATGGGAATGAAGTAAGTATCCTCCATAGAATTGTATTTATTTTTGGTTGAAAACACACTATAAGCAGTGAAACTATTTCTTGGAAAATGTTAGCTTTAAAGCTTCTAATTGTCATTTGAGAGATATTTAATAGTCCCTTGCAAAACTACAATGTTGTGAAATATGAATATCTAAAAGGAATATCAGTCAAATTATGTTAAGTTTTTAAAAGATATTTTTACAACATTTGACAATATATAGAAGCCAGTGCCAACCATAATTGTTCTGTGAAATCTTTAGATGGGCCTCTTAATTTGTTTTAATTCATTCCAGGAGATTAACCACCATTTATAGTTTGGTTTTGTTTCCATAATTAGATTTTATATTTTAGCAGGAATTAATCAGTGAAAAATTGGCTATTGTCTAAAAAGTGAAAGTACTGATCAGCAATTTCAACACTAGTGTTCAGTGAATTATATCTTTGTAAATACTGAACAGAATTGTACCATTATTGGACTGATATTTCTTTGAGAGATTCAACTTTTACAATATTGTTGTTTACAATTATCTGTAGTAAAATCAGTTTTTGATTCATTGCTATGTCTAATTTATATTTTTTAGTCGCAATAGTAATAATAATTCAAGAGAAATGATGCAATCTTTAAGTGGATTAGACAAGTCAGCACTGCAAGCTAAGAAAAGAGAACTAGATAAAGTTAGCTCAGAAAGAGATATGTTAAATATGGAGTTAGCTAATATGAGAGGAAAGATGAAGGTTTGTTAAATACACATGTATAAAACATGTTGTTTCTCAGATAATAAGATACAATTTTCAATAATTTTGAGTAGAGTAATAATTGATCTCCAATGAAAAACATGTCTTGTGTTATGTATTCATCTACATAAAGCTTCATTATGTAAGTGTTAAACCTTCCTATTGCATATATTTTTCCTGGCTTCAACTCTTGTAGAAATTATTATTTGAACATTTAGTCACATGAAAAGTCTATAATCAACTCTCCAGAACATTGAATAGTCGAGATTAAATGGATTTGAACACCCACAAGATTTTAAAATTTAACGATGAAATAGTTAATCGAGACTTAGTCTTGGTTGTCAAGTACCGTTGCTTTGATAATAAACGATCTGCGCTACATCTTCGTCCAGAATAAAGTAATTTGAAAGAATTTTCAATATAATCATTTTTCATTATCTATTTTTGAACTATTATAGCAAGAACGATCAGCTCTGCATCTAAATCTTACATAATGTATCTTTAAATGCCAACAATTTCGACGATGATACTCTCGTCTTTATTATGCAAATGATTGTTAAAGCTACAATTTCATATTTTTATACGCCCACATTTTTATGTGAACGTATATTGTCGTCGCCCCTGTCCGTCCGGACATCCGTCCACAATTGTTTGTGAACAGTCTACAGGTCACAATTTTTATCCGATTAAAATATAGGTTTATCACCCTAAGATCTCGGTTCCTTTCGATATTGGCATGTATCGGACTGTAACTTCATGGATTATGGTCCCTGATTGTACGAAAAATCACGTTTTTAGCTTGTGAACACTGTAGAGGTCACAATTTTTATCCGATTTATTTTAAACTTGAAATGTATGATTATAACCCAAAGATCTCGGTTCCTTTTGATATTCACGCATATCTGAACATAACTTCCTGAATTATGGCCCCTGATTGTATGAAAAATCGCGTTTTTAGCTTGTGGACCCTATAGAGGTCATAATTTTTATCCGATTTAAAAAAACGTATTATTATATCACCGTTAAACCCTAAGGACGGTTGAGTTCGAATTTCGTGAAAATCGGCCCAAAACTGACAGACAAAATGGCCGCCGTTCGTTCTCAAATAGCGTAAAAATACTGTATGGTATATCAAGGTTGTGGGCCCTATAGAGGTCACAATTTTTATCCGATTTTGTTGAAACTTGAAATGTATGTTTATATCCCAAAGATCTCGGGTCCTTTCGATATTCGCGCATATCGGACCGTAACTTCCTGAATTATGGCCCCTGATTGTACGAAAAATTGCTTGTTTACCCTATAGAGGTCATAATTTTTATCCGATTTAAAAAAACGTATTATTATATCACCGTTACACCCTAAGGACGACTGAGTTCAAATTTCGTGAAAATCAGCCCAAAACTGACAGACAAAATGGCCGCCCCTCGTTCTCAAATAGCAAAAAATATGGTATATCAAGGTTGTGGACCCTATAGAGGTCACAATTTTTATCCGATTTTGTTGAAACTTGAAATGTATGTTTATATCCTAAAGATCTTGGTTCATATTCGCGCATATCGGACCGTTACTTCCTGAATTATGACCCCTGATTGTACGAAAAATCGTGTTTTTAGCTTTTGGACCCTATAGAGGTCATAATAGCGTTCTCAAATAGCGTAAAAATATGGTATATCAAGGTTGTGGACCCTATAGAGGTCACAATTTTTATTCGATTTTGTTGAAACTTGAAATGTAAGTTTATAACCCAAAGATCTCGATTCCTTTCGAAATTTGTGCATATCGGACAGTAACTTCCTGTATTATGGCCCCTGATTGTACGAAAAATCGCGTTTTATCCGATTTAAAAAACCGTATTATTATATCACTGTTACACCCTAAGGACGGCTGAGTTTAAATTTCGTGAAAATCGGCCCAAAATTGACAGACAAAATGGCCGTCGTTCGTTCTAAAATAGCGTAAAAATATGGTATATCAAGGTTGTGGACCCTATAGAGGTCACAATTTTTATCCGATTTTGTTGAAACTTGAAATGTAAGTTTATAACCTACAGATTTTTAGCTTGTTCTCTATCCATTTCTCAAAAATGTGGGCGTATCCTGCCTGGCAGCCGCTGGTTAAGTTATATTTTTAAAAATTATCAAAATAAAGCCTAATAGAGGGTATCCATAAACTGTCCTACCTTGTTAAAGTATAACCCTATTAATCCTATAATTCACTATTGCCAGCTGAGAAATTGGCAAAAATATCATTTTCAACTTCAAATTCCAACCTTTGAAGGTAGATAATGCATGGAGGCAATAGGAAAACAAGGGAGGTAATTGTGTTATTATTTCCTGTGTCAATGATTTTTAAGGGTGGGAAATAATGCCCATGGTCGTATAATCGTGAGTTGATAACATATTGAGCAAAAGACATAGAATTAATTATGTTTTGACTTTCTTAGAAAATATGAAATTCCCAATTTAAGCAAGTAATTGTTATCCATAAATAGTGTTTAGTGTGTTACTGTTCAATTACTAAATGCCAAATAAAGAAGTCATTGGTCCACCAGATGTGACATCTGAACAGATAATATCAACACACAAGAAGATGATATCTGTGATTGGTAGATTGAGTGTTTTGGTTTACCTTGTTTCTAAATCATATCAGATATTGCAAACACACAAATCCTGTTGTCATGGAAATAGAAGTTATGGTGGACACTGGTCTCAACACATAATTAATCAATAGTTTTTTTATATTAAAGATGTCTATATTTGAATTGGATTCAGATACCATATAGAATTTTGAAATGAATTTTAACCATTTTTTTTTTTAGAATTTACAAACTGAGTTTTCCACAGTCTCAAATAAACTAATAGAAAACAATCTTAATCAAATGGTAAGATATTCTTTTTCTTTTCTAATATTTATATATTCATTGAATGAGTCCAAATAAATGGATATGCCCCTTGTTGTTTTTTGTTATTTTAACATACAAGTTCGGAAACGTTTACATGATAATGACATCTGATATGTCATTAATAACTATGATCAGCTATCCAATTGATTCTTCACTTTCATTTATTTTATTGGTTTGAAGTATATTGTGTTTGACAATATCACTTATTTGCGGTTTCGCAACCACATTCTTTATGTTGCTGTATTATATTTTTATCTGTGATGGCTGAAATAAAATGTCTTACAATTGAAATGTTTTATATTTAAAGTGTCTTGATAATCTTGTCATTGTGTATCATATATTTTTAGCAAAAAAAAAAACCCCATTAAAATTTCAATTTCAGCTACAGGTAGTTATGAATCTGGCCACAAAAGTAAAACACATCAGGTATGATTATTAAAAATTGATAACATAATGATGTTATAAAACAAGACAATTTATATTATGCAGGTTTATTATACTAGTAACGTTTTGATGGTGCTCTTTATCATAACTATTGATATCCATATAAATGTGTTATGACCTATCAATTACTAAAATGCCACTTAAAAGCAGTAGTAGTGTGCTATATAATATGATTCCACCAGACATGTATATACTTATGGCTTCCTTTTACTGTATAAAAATACTTAAGTTTTATACATATATGTTACCATTTGCTTGATAAAGATGAGAGTATCATTGTTGCATGTTAATAAACCAGTAATTGTTATTCCATAAATAGTGTTAGTGTGTTACTGTTCAATTACTAAATGCAACTTAAAGAAGATCAGATGGTATATTATAAAATCAAAGTGAGGGATGGAGGGAGAGAGAGAAGGGGAGAGAGAGAGAGAGAGAGAGAACAAACTAGGTGATTTCGGTTCAGACCTTATGATCCAAAGTTCACAGACAGGATAAACCATTCGGCCACCCAACCCCCAATATAAAACCAAAGTAGTTAGTGGATTGGACTAGGAATTGATATTGAATATTGTCATTGTACTTGTAGATCTCAGTTTCCAGATGATAAAAATACACCTTTAGATGAAGCAATTAAAATCATTTCTGGTGAAAATAAGTCGAAAACTATCCAGATAGAATCTCTACCACCAGTAGTGTCAACATTATCTACATATAGAGCTGCACAGAAAGAAATATCACTCTGTAAAGATAAGGTAGATAATTCTTTCTTTTTTTGTGTGATAAGAAATTTGCAGGTAATTGGAGGCTACACAAGTTGTAATGTTCACTGAGTATACGACAATCCCAAGTCAAAATTTCTTGTCGCCTTTAAATTTACACTATTTCAAGGTTCAGTAATTTTATGGTTCAATAATTTGCCAGCCCAATATTTGGATATTTTGTGATTTTATTGCTTTATGTTTAATTTTATATATTAATTATACAGTCAGAGTTAATAGAAATGGTGACAACTAGAGATGCAGCTAGAATTGAATTGTTTGATAAATTGAATGTTTGTGTGGCTGAATTAAAGAAGTATCCCTTACAAGAAAGAGGAACTCAAGTGACGGTAAATACTTGCAAATTAATAATGGTTTGAAATATTGACTTTGAATTTAATTTGTCCAAATTACTACATTATATATCATTTAAAAAAAGTGGGAATACTAATCCATATTTAGTAAAAATATTAAATATATAATACAACTAATACAAGGGTAAATTAAACACAATAGTTCAATTTAAAATGTCACATAACAGAGATATACCATCAGTTTTTATAGCTTCAGGAACATGCATATATCTTAAATATGTGGATGAATATATGATGTTAAAGAGTCATAATAAAGAATATGTCTTACATGTATTCTGTAAAACTTGTAACTTGGTGCAAGCATGGTAATGTTAAAATTGTGAATAATATACGGTATAAAGTTGTATTTATTACAGAATTGTATGGACAGATGTTATATAAGAATCATATTTATTGTAGAATTGTATGGATGTTATTGAAAGAAATTATAGTTACTTTATTAACTTTCTTATTCCGTCACCAAACATGCTAAGTGAATTGGGTCCAGCTTACCAAGATTGGAAGGTAAATTAATAAAACAAAAAAATTAAAATTGAAATTAGCAAATGATTTATATCTCTTCAGGCAAAAAAGAAATGAAATGAAAATGAAATGAAATGGGGTTTAACGTCCTACTGTTCTGCTCCTATACTGGGCTAATGAAGACGGGCATACGCCATACAGTGTGCTATGAGTGAAATTTTGCCTGGGCAGCGGCACTATCGCCTACTCTTATATCGAATTCCAACTGCCAAGGAATCTTTTACGTGCATTCTAATGTATACACGGGACCTCGTTTTTTTGTCTCATCCGAAGGACTAGACAGCTTTCCTTGTCAGGCCCTTCGTTCTGCACCACTGACAAGGGAAACCACGTCGGAAAATCAGTATGAACTTTCTCGGCCAATGCAGGGATCGAACACCCGACCTCCAGGCTAGCGAGCCAGCTTCTTAACCACCTAGCCACCATGGCTCCTAGGCAAAAAAGAATGAAGACTCATAAAAATAAGCTTTTAAGCATTGATAATTGGTTACCGATTGAATCTTTCTTTCTGTGTTTTTTTATTTACGATAAATAATACACAGGACACAATACTATTGAATTAATTTACTGTTTTATTACTGAGCGATATTTCAACTAGGATACACAAGTGAAAACTCAGTAACTAATAGTAATTGTATTCAATAGAATTTTGTTCTATTACTAAATTCTGTTGAAACAATTTAGAAATAATAGATTTTTTTTATACAGGAAAAGAAGAAACAGGAATCAGAACAATGTCGTCAACAGACTGATACAAGTAAACAGGCTGTACTAGCATCACTAATGCAGTTTCATACGGTATGTTAATATCTGTTTTCTCTTTAATAAACTGATGTTATCATATAATCTAAATTTCTCTGGAGCATTATTACCACGAGAGCCGTATTTAAGAAGAAGTGGGTTTTGATCAATTCAATGTAATTAAAATCTGATGTTAATTCTGTTAGGTTTCTTTTCGTACGATTTTGACAAGTCAGCATTCAGATCACATAGTCGTTTTGACTTTGTATTGTAAATTATGGGAAATTGAATATGGGAACTGTTCTGAGTGCTATACGGTTATAGCCATTTCTCTAAATTTAATTTGATTGTGAGAAAATCATGTTTGTAGTCTCAAATTGTTTTAAAAATCAGGGTTTTCTTAAATATCTCTTAGAATATTGGTAGCTAGTAATAATATTAGACCATATCATTGGAACATGATAAAGATATTTATACTGAATTTGTGCTTTTGATCTTGGGTGCTAAATAATATGCTTTAGAGGAAATGTGATAGCTGCTAGATTAGACAGATTATATGGGACCTTATACTGATATTTATTTTGTAGTTATTGAGTTTAGAAGACATGGAATCAGCAGATCAACAAGTAAATATAGATATAGATGGACAGTTAAAACACTATATATCAGCTTTACAATCGGAAATAAGTAAATCAGATACAGTAAGTACTGTATTATTATTATTATTTATAAAGATATGTTGAATTGCTATGTAATAAGCCTGCCGACGGGACATTATCTAGCGTTTTTAATTTGATTTTGTTTTCTTAATTAAAGGTTAAATAATCAATTTGAAAGTCGTATTAGTGTAGATTAAGCTGTGAGAAATTTGATATTTCAACGAAAAATGCAAATGATGCATTGTTATGTTAACAATGTATCTATTTTGGGAAGAATAGTCATTGAAAAAAAGCGATACTGGTAATAGTAATTTCTTTACTAGTTGATATTTTATTTGTATATGCAATACATGTTTTGTAATTGTTTCAGGAATCTGGTCGTGATTCAGCTTTTTTAGCTAACCTTGTACAAAGTTTATATAAAGAATTACAACAGGAGAGATCATGTATAGATAATTATACACAATTATTAACAGAATTTCAACAGATGATAACCGATATAGAACCATGGTTAAACTGTAAACCATCTACTACTGAATTACAATCTACACGCAAAAGGTTACGATCATTAAAATCAAAATTAAGACATAGAATAGCAGATAAAGAAGATCATGAAGAGGTATGTATTTTTTGAATGAGACTTAGTATCCAACTTTCAGAAGTTATTGAAATATCCATTATAATCAGGTAGAATGATTGGGATGCCAGATACTATTTGATACACATCTTATAACATGTACACTAGGGGAGGAGGACAATTACCCATCCAGAACAATTATAATATTATAAGACATAAAAGTGGCTTGAAGACCTGGTTATCCGAGTTTCAGTGACTAGTTTTGTTCATATTAAACTCTTCAGACTGATTAGACTCACGTGGTGGGCGTTTTTATTTATACTATTCAGAAACCCCGGTGGGGTTACCATGGTTACTCATTCAACAAAGACATAACCGAAGGATGACAGGCCTACCCGTCCAGTTAATACAACAGACAATCTCACCTCGGTCCACAATTGAGACACCTACTAGTTGCCTCTCACTTCCAATTTCCAAGGCATAGTCCAATTATACATATTGTTCACTAGTAGTTTTTGATTGTTGATTTACAATAACACAGAGATTGCCTATCCATGTATCTTCAAAGGGTGCTGGATGTTGATGACTGTGTCTTCTTGTTGATTTATGGCTGTACACTTTTATAGCATATCTATGCTAGATATTTCAAATACTAGTATAAATTTTACACATTTACTTTTGCTGTGATGTGATATTTGATAGAAATAACAATTTATACACAAAAACCTATCATAGTGAATCATAGGTGCTTCATGGCAGAAAAGTAAGGTGTTGTTCTTTTAAGGTCTATGAAAAAGTTTTTTTTATTTATATAGTCATAAAGTAATGGATAATGGTAATGAATTACTTTCAGTGTAATGGGAAATGTTAATGAAATAGATTGCTTAAAATGGGAAAGTAATTGTAGTGATTACATTTAAAAAGTAATGGTAATGTAACTAATTGCTTTGGCAATGTAATGGGCCCAGCTGTGAGTCAGCCATATAAATTGTAAAATTTATACTAGTATTTGAAAATGTGTAGAGATAGATTGTTTTAACATGACTTTAAGGTCTGTTCTTGAAAACTGATATCTATTAGCATTCTTGATATTATTATTACAGTCTTTCAAGGAATCTGTAGATTTGGGTTATTAGGTTGATGTTTTATTTTGATATAGAATGAAGGAGAGGGAGATGAATTAGATGAAATAAAGACAGATATTAATGAAATACGTAATGAAATCCACCAGATATTGATACAAGAAAGTAAACAATTGGTAAGTTACCAGGACTTAGTTTGTGATATCTTTATTACCTATCATTATAATTATTTATGAACCCCTCTGTTTTATTACACTTATGTATATTGTTTTGTTTCAGTGTTCAATGTCAAAGTTAGCAGAAGCCCATTTTCCAGAAGTTTTATCTGAGTTTACTGATTTTGGTATTGATACCCAGATGGTATGATCAGTATATTTATTTTATCAATGATATTAATTTGATACATTTATAATGTGTACACACTACTGAAGCTGATACATGCTCATTATAGAAGCCAATTCATACTTTTTTGGATACAATTCATACACATTATTTCAACTTATACATACAGATTATAGAAACTTTTAGATAATATAAATCTTTATTCAAATGCTGATAAATTATCTGCTTTATTTAACGGGACTATCCCGATTTGAACAGAGTCTCAAAAATAAAAGTCCGAGTACAGATGAAATTTAAGCGCCAAAATATAGAGGAATGGTGTATTTACCCGCCTCAAAATTTCATCTCAAAATATTGAGTCGTTTGGACGTGAACATCAAAACTGCTTATCCGGAGACGTAACCCTTTTAAGATTTCAGGTCATTTTTTTTGATGGGTGCCTTGATAATCGATTGCCGTTCATTTCGAGGGCTATTCACCTACGCGTTATTTTTATAAAGTAAAAGTCTGGTTTTATCCAGACACCGTATCATACAGCTTGTCTCCATTTCCAGATGAATACTGACAGGTTTAAGTTGTTTGAAAACGTATCACGTATATTGAGTTAGTTGCTCGGCCCTAAGGTAGACGGGGGTTGGATGGCCGAATGGTTAGCACGTGCATGCTGTATCATACGGCCTGTCATTGAGTCAACTGGCATGGTTTCGAATCCCTGGTTGTACGTGACAAGGAGTAGGGTCGCCTGTCCAACCTTGTGGGTTTTCTCTGGGTCTTCCGGTTTCCTCCCACTGCTAAAGACCCCTACGCGCAAGCGAATTATTGAAATTCAGGTCAGAGTGTTTGATATTTTTTCTCTCAAATTTGCTGTGATTCTTCGGTTAGTCTTAAGGAGGAACTCTTATCAAAATTCAGTGTAGTTTAACAATTTTTGCAGAGTTACTGGCCCTTCATAGATAGCTTGTAAACACTCAACAGGAAACGGATGTTGAGATTTCCTTAGCATACATGCTGGTTGAACCATGTCAAAATTAATAGTGATATATGATTTTACAGAATTACTGTGCCTGTTACAGAAACCTTGTAAACAAGCAACAGGTCAAGGGTTTTTGTCAAACTTACTGGGGTTATTAAGACAATCAGAGGAGAAAGCCTATCAAAATTCAAAGAGTCAGAAAACAATTTTCTCACCAAGTTCTGGCCCCTGTTATGGTATCTGTGATTTATCTCAGACTTGTTTGAATTGTCTAGCTAGTATCGACATAGAGAGTTGTTCATCGATACTTATTGCCCATGATCCTAAAAATTGAAAACCTAATTTCAATATACTGCCAGTAAGTGTATATTCATTATGTGGTAAATGTTTCTATATTACAGACTTATCAAGGGCTGGTCAAAGATAGTTATGAAATAGAACATTTTGATCTGACACCAGTTTCTGACATGGTTAATGATTTATATGAATCTGTTTTCTGTGGAGAAACAGTCTATATAAAGGTGAGAAATTTGCTATATTATGTCAAAATTTGAAGATACACATATTCCAAAGCTAACAAATTTGCCCCTTATATTTTTTAACCATTCAATGACACAGATTTTTTAGATTAAGATTTTTAACAAAGAATTATTTGAAAAGCAAGTTTCTGATGTATAAATAGATTTGATTTGTATTTTGTTTAATAGGATTATATATTGGGTGACGCAGATCATCTTTATAAAGATCAGTTTATAAACCAGTGTTTTACATTTTCTCAAATACAAGATGAATATCTTCATTCAATAGACACAGTCTTCTTTGATAAGGTAAGTTGCTTTTTTCTTTCATAATAAATATTTAATTACTTCATTGCTAGTCATAGGATAGGGTGACTAGTCCCTAGTGTTGTATGGTAAAAAAATAAGTAGCCCACTGTTATATGCATTGGCACTCAGGTTAAAACAAGCATTGACATGCTACTTTCTGGTCAAAATCCTCCTACCTTGCATTATATATAATAATATTTTATTCTCTATATGATGGAAGTGTATTGGTTATATCACAGAACACATGGTTACCTATAAGTGTCACTACAACTAATTTCTCCAAGATTAAAAAACATTAAACATACATTATGCAAGAGCTAAATCTGTCTATTGCAGGTCTTTCTTTAGGCCTGAAATGTTATCTAAATTATAAATTAGACATTAATTAACTTATCCAGACCATAATCAACTCTAGATGGCATCGCTAGCCTGCGATCTTAAGTGGATTGTGAGCCAATTTCTGCATAACTTTCCTTCTCGATTAAACGATTAAATGGATAATCGAGACTATTCTGTTTATCGTACTGACTTTAGTAGTGATGATCGAGGCTAGACAGAAATTTCATTCGCTTAGTTCTCGGTTCATAGTGGGTCAATTTGAATAAAATTTTCAGCAAATTGCCTTTACGTTATCTAGTTTTTAACTATTATAGTGAGAACTGCCAACTCGTTATCGCATCCCATAATGTATCTTTAATGGATTATGAAATGGGAGAATACTGCATTCCATCACTGCTCTCTCCTGCATTATATGAGAAAATGGGTTTATAACCATTTTTTCTTTCTAATTAAAGTAGACAAAGAATAGAATCAAAAGCAATCAATTTAACTTGTATTTATATATTGAGCAAAAATAAAATCCTGATTCATTACTTTAGTATGTGATTTATAGTTATATTACTATTTTATCTTAATGTTTATATATTTGATTTATATTAATATTGTATTGTTATATTAAATTTGTTGTATTTGTATAAATATTTTAGAGCGGCAGACATGGTTATATTAAATCACCGAAGGAAGGAGAATTATTAACTTCTGTTATGGAATCGGGTATAAGACCAAACAGTAAGGTATGTACCGTAAATGTACCAATTAAACTACTCATTCCCAGACACTTTTTTGATGTTTAGAGAATTTATTAATTGTAATATGATAAAGTGGGTCAGCAGTTTAATCTTAACATTTAATTTATTTGCAGGCAATACAACAAATTATAAGATGTGTGAGTAAAGGTTTGGGAGCACTTCATGCTAAAAACTTTATTCATGCTGACATCACACCACTGAATATAATAATGAGAGATGATGGCAGTGCTGTATTAATGGAACCAGATTTCTCCAGATCAGTGGTAGGTCAGGATAGGATCCTATTACAGTTCAATTTGTTGGTAAACACATCATCTGGGGCTGGAAGTATAAGTGTATAACTTCCCTGGGACACTTGCAACTTTTTTTAGTAATTTGCTATAGTCTTATTAAATGATTATATTGCTCTGTTTTGGAAATCACAGGTCGGTGGAATGGATGATTGCTTCCAGTGTTCATTCGGAAAAAAATCCCTTACTCACAGAAAATGCTATTTCATACATTTAATCAGGATTGTTGATTTAAGTACAGCATAGTATTAGCCACAATAATTAAACACAAGAGATATTTCATTATTTATTTAATATCAGTGATGCAAGTCCAGAGTCAATCAATTGGTTTCTTTTTTCCTCTTATTCTTTATGTAAAACTTTTAGAGATATTGGTTTAATTTGCATATTTAAGTAGAGTATTGCTCATAATTTACTGTTGATTACTAATACCGTACTCTTCAATATTAAATGATATATTCTTTACTTATAGACTGATAGATGTCGTAAGAAGTATGTAACAAAGAGTGGTTTAGAATTTATTCCACCAGAAATACGTAATATGGCTGAAGTAACACCTTCTGTTGATCTATATAATCTAGGTTTACTTATACTATGGGTAGGTAAACATGAGCATTATTACAGCACAAGTCAACACTTGATAAATTGATTTATAAGTCCTAAAGCTATACAATATGGTAACATTCTACATCCCTCATGTTCTTTGCATGATAAAACAAAATTTGAAATTAATTTCTTCAAAATCATTGGAGAAATACTTAAAAGTGTTTGCTAAATCTTATGTAAGAATATATTTCTATTATTAACTGATACTAGTCAATAATTAATACCCACTGTGTAGGCAAATTTTTGTGCACAAATATATACATATTAAAATTAGATTTTTTTTTTATTTTCAGCTCCATTATCCTGATTCTAATGTTGCTTTATTACCTGATAATGTTCCTGATTTTACTTCTTTACCTTTAGTAAGTCTACTTAATACTAAATCTGTTGATACACAACTCCTGACAATTTAATTCTGTTAAGACATCTACATGTACATTGTATACATTGTACTTATTTGCCATGCTATTTATTTAATATCTAATAGTAAGTTTCACTATGCCACCTTCAGAGTAAATAGTACAAGTCTGTGTACAAGATAACAGATGAATTTGGAGACAAATTAAGTCCTGAGCACTCCTTTACGTGACTAACATAAGTTCGAAATACTTTTAAATTTGTAGCAACCCATTTCGGCCAACACATTGTCTCATGGAGTCTGACAAAAAAAAGTCAGATAAAATAGTTGGATTCTTATGTTGTATACTAAATGGAGCTACAGTGGCTCAGTGATTAAGGCGTTGATAAAAGTCCACATGATTATCCGGCCCGGTATCCCCTTGTCATTGGTGCAGGATGGAAGACCTGGCAAGGAACACCATCTATATGGAACTAAAAAATGACATCCCATATACCCTTCGGAATTCAATAATGATTAGGTGGAATCGCCTCTGTCCATGTTTAATGTATCTCAAAGAACACTGCCTGGTATAGGTCTGTTCTTCATTAAAACCAAATTTCATTTCATTTTGTATACTAGAGCACTATGTTAACATCAAGTGATTGCTTTTCAATTTTTCTAGATTACTTGAAACAATTTAAATGTCAACTTTATTTGTATTTTAGGATCAATCTACTCAGATGATATTACGTTCCTTACTCAGCAGTATTTCACATCTCCGTCCAACAGTAGAACTATTATTACAATCACCTTATCACACTATGGATTTACCAGATAATCTTATAATCTCACAACCATCTAATCCCTTTAATCCACCCACCTGGTAAATATAATTTATAATAATAAAATATTCTATAAGCTTAGCTAAATTTCTACTTATTGTGGGAGGTACACTGGCTTGTTGCGTAAGACACTGGGTCCTTAACTAGGAGGTCCTGGATTCAGTTTAAGTGTTGGCAATTTAAGTGGAGGTATAAAAAGTAGCAGTAATTTAGTTTCGCTCTGATGATGTCGTAATACAAATAGATATTAAATAGTGTAAAAAATATATATGTATTTGTTTATTTTTTGTAGTATGGCAAGTCATGGTGGTGGAGACAGGTTTACCATGACAAGTATAAGTGTAAGGCACAGTGAATACAAGACTAGTTCTACAGGAGACATAAATAAAGGTTCTAACCCTTTTCCTGATGTACCAGATTATCCTACTACTAGTACTAGCAGTCATATACAACAAAAACTAGTCTACTCTAAACCCAGCAGTAGTCATTCGGAAGAACCATTTGAAATTGGAACCTTCGACTTAGCAGACGCGATGTCCTCCATTCCTGATCAGGTTGAGGAATCCATCTCGGACAATACACCGAGCCAAGAGAGTGACTTTAACATGGATCAAAATGAAATTACAAAGATGCTAGAAGGAACATTTCCCTCTGAGAATGTAGTCGTTTCTGCTGAATTACAAAATTTATCAGTAGCCGAAAATACAAATAATTCTAACATCGAAGCTGAGAAATTAAAACAGGAGAGTGAAAGAGAGTCATCCACCCCTGATTCATTCTCTGACGAAGTGCAATCTGAAAATAGTACGGAACAGCAGTAAGATGAAAATAGGCACTGTAGCCTAAATATAGAAACTTTTCACATTATTCAATTTTCTAATATATATACAATTTTCTAAATATCTTTCTAAAAATTTGAAATTTGTTTAGTTTCATATGAATAATGCAGAACTTTAAGGTGTCAAAATTTTGTTTTAGTGAAAGCAGTAATTTTTAGGTTTTTTTAAAAATATTATTTTATCATATGCAGAACTTATATGACAATCTGAATCTAATGACAATTTTTATTCATTTTTTTTTTGTTGTTGGGACATTTTAAAATTGTGACCTCAAGGAGAGGGGCTGTTGTTGACTTTATGTTATCTGTAATGTAGTTGTTATTATTTTTGTATATAATTATTGTTAAAATATTCTGGTTCTCTGAAAATCCTTCCAAAAATTCAAATAATAATGTGCATGTATAAAGCACTTTATCCATCCAGGGTGCTTGCTCTAAGTGTGGTAAAAAATCAATGGGTACATGAACATACTGTCTTTAAGTCTAGCTTTAAACTGAGCAATCAATCCTGAACACTTTATCACAGCCGTTAAGCTGTATACACTAAAAGCTGTATCACCAAATGATTTTAATCTAGTGGAAGGTATAAGTGAAAAGGAAGGATTTTTATTTTGATACATGGTGTTTATATGAACAAGCCTGAAAATAAGGCACCATTTGAGCTTTGTCTTGCATAATTCCTCCAGTGTCTGTCATAGATTTGTCTTTGAGCAGAGTTTTGTGATAATATTTATATACATGTCTGGCACATTTTATCAGGTACAGCTAACATTATTTCCAGGATTGTATAGGAATTCACATACATAACTATTTCTGGTGTTAAATACCCAAATCTGTTACTGTACACTAAGCTAAGTAGAACCAGGTTCATTTACAAGCAGTAACTAATTGTTTCAGTCCATGGATGCAAGTATAAATTTTGTAGTTTCTGAACTTACATCCCATTACTGCTTATGAACCGGCAGTAATTAATTTTTGAAGTAACACCGACTACTGAGGTATCTGACTGAGAACCAGAATATTTTGTTTTAATTGGAGTATGATCTTGAACACAAATTATTGTTATGTTTAAATAATGTCTTTCTTTTCCATTACTTTAAAAAGTCCATCATAATTCATTTCAGAACCATAATGCTTTTTAGTTCATCGAAAATACTGCAAAGACATAAATGCAGTGTAAATAAAAGAACTCTTATAAACACCATCAATTTATTTTTGTCGTTTTTTATACGCCCACATGTTCTTGTGAACACTCTACAGACTACATTTATTATCTGATCTTTTGAAATTTGTACATTAGTGAAACAAAGAAACCGATTTAATTTCAACAATTTCTGTTAATTACTTCGAGAGTAATGGTCCTCATTTCACTTTGTAGAACCCTGTAAACGCTATAATGACTAAATTTATCATTCGATCTATATTCAATTTTTATACTTTACTTAATTTAATTGTAAAATGAAGAAGCCAATTGAATTTTATCAATTTCCAGTTAAAACTTAAGAGTTATGGCCTTTGTTGAACCTTGTGAACGCTCTAATGACTAAAGTTATCATCCGATCTGTAAGTAATTTATATGCATAATTTAGATTAGATTTATGGGGAGGTTGGGTGGCTGAATGGTTAAGGCATACACTGAGTCAAGTGGCGTGGTTTCGATTCCCCACTTGTGACTAGGAGTAGGGTCGTCTGTCCAGCTTTGTGAGTTTTCTCCAACTTGTCTCGAAATGATCAAGTTTGTGTTGAGTGGACGTTAAACTCCCATCTCTCTCTCTCTCTCTTGATTTATGGCCCTTGTGACACTTTGTTGAACATTGTGAACACGCTAACAACTAAAGTTATCATCGATCTGCATTAAATTAATATGCATTATTTAAATTAGTAAAATAAAGATGGGCCTTGAAATTCAGGAATTTTCGTTAATTATTTCTAGAGTTATTGACCTTGTTTCATTATGCAGTTTTGCCAAATGATCATTTGGTTCATTGTAGGTTACCATTAATGACATGATGTTTCTTGTACAAAGTACAAAACACCTCTCAGTTTTGTTGTTAGGTCTGTCTGTCCTCATTCTTTGAAATCTATTTACCCAAAATGGACAAATAATGCACATGAATTTCAAACTGATCAAATAACTTTAGAACTTTCATAAGATACTAAAGGTTATCAAGGGCAAACTTATTACCTATCAGAAATTTTATCACAATATGAATATATTTCTGAGTGGGCATACAGAAAAATGTCCAGAATACATTTACCTGCCCATACTTTTCAATATAAGGGAGTAATACTGAGATTTTGTCAATCAAAACACTAAGATTTTATTAAGAAGTCACTCATAAAAATTCCTTTGAGTAGCTGCTTAACACAGATTCTACTGGTAATTTTCATATTATCAGAATTAAAATAAATTGAAATGATGACAACAGTTCAATATTACAAGGGAGCCATGATGGCTCAGTGAGTAAGATGCTGGCTCGCTAGCCTGGAGGTCTCAGGTTCGCTCCTGGTGTTGGCCGAGAAATTTCCTCTGGATTTTCCGGCGTGGTTTTTCCTTTGTCAGTGGTACAGGACACAGAGCAGTGTATAGATGTTCAGATGGGACAGAAAACTGAGGTCTTGTGTACACATTGCCATGCACATAGCAGTAAGAATTCGATAAAGAGTAGGCTGAAGCGCCGCTGCCTGGGCAAAATTTCCTTTATACCACACTGTATGCCATATACCTGTCTTCATAAGCCCAGTTGGTGCAGAAAATTAGGATGTTAAACAACATTTCATTTCACAATATTAAAAAATTCAAATATTCTCCTAAACGACATGTCTGACAATAAATGTTGACTGGATGATAACAATGTAAAATGCAGACATAAAACAAAAATACACAGAATCTATCACAAATATATATTTACCGGAACACAAATATATAAACAAACAAAAATTACTAATATAGTCTTCTAGAGTTTGGCAGTTCATCTAAATTGTCTTAAAATGGTGATATTATATGGAATTTTGGTTATATTTTTAGTTACACAGTAATAATTTATTGTCTTAAAGATACATTCCAACAAAAGTATTTACAGGGTTGTTATTTTCAATAAAAGTATAATATGGAAAGGAGAGACATTCAATCTTACTAACTGTGAGAACACTGAGACTCTTAAATATCCAGTAGACTCTGATAACGGTGGAAAAAAAAGTTGTCAGCGGATAATCTAAAAATTTACATAGGCTTTGATATTTATGGTAATTGGACAGCCAATAACGAGAAATTCAACGAGTTTTCCCTCATTCAAGCCATGTTACAAGAAAGGCTTCTTAGAATAGATTATTGTGGCATGGGGTAGTTTTCTTCTGATTAAAAATGCTTTGAGAGCCATTTGAAGCAAACTTTTGATAGATAAATTAGTTTGTACCGGTATATGTTTTAAGTCCAAATTATCATCAAATCACACAGTTTGTACGCAGGAAGGCATCTTTAATACTTTTGTACAAGTAGGTATACACCTCAATGGAAATAAGTTTTGTAAGTTAGTCATACTATAACACCAAGATGATACAGATCTATCAGAGTTTTTGTTGGTATAGCACTGTGGTGACAGTATTTTAATATTAAAGTAATAATTCAGATTTCCCTTCCATTTGATTAGAATACGAACTTATAGCTGGCTTTACTTCTGATGAAATAAACTGACTAACCTGAAAAATAAACATTTAAAACTTTGACAATAAATAATACACCTTCGCAGCTAATAAGTGTTTGTTTTGTAAGATTTTATCAATAGAATGTACTGAATGACTGTAACATCGCTACATTCACTGAGTGACATACATTGTCAACACAGGTCTATTCACAATACAGATTGGGATGGCAGATAAATTCTTAAACAAATTATTCAATGGAAATTAACCAAAAATACTAGCTGATTATTTCCTAAAATATGCTGATATGCTTGTACATTTTATTACTGACGCCAAATCACTGAATTGAATCCAAAACATTCTAACCTGTTTTGGTGCTAGTCCTATAAAAGTTGTTGGATCTAGTAATTTCTCTAATTGGTTGTGTATAGGTTTAAAATAATCAGATTTTTTAATTCTTTCTACTAAATCATTATCTAAACCTTGTTGTTTTACAACCATACCAGCCTCATGTGATAATACACGGATCTCCTCATGACATTCCTGAAAAAAACATTAATGAAAATTTTGTCAGGGAAATACGATGATTTAAAACAGTTTTATCAACAAACAAATATTTTTCTTAAAACTTTCTGTGTTTCTTTGACAAGCCAAGACAAAATTCAGACCCCATTCCTGTGCACACTTTGAAGGCCAGCGTTTTCTAGATCTTTTAAATTTTAAAACGTTTCCACAATTTTTTTGACTGCACTTTGAGCATAGAAACAGTGCATTATACATAGACTATTATTATTTGGTCAACGATATAATGGTCAACGATATAATTAATAATATAGTCATTTCCCCTGACCAGACCTGGGGGACAAATCTTGTGGCCGTTTGTTACCACCTCCAAAGCAATTGTTGCGAATTAGGAATTGGAAATAAAATGAAATTGGGTTTAATGTCTTACTTTTCTGCAGAATTAGGAATTGGTCTTTAATCATTCAATACAACTATAGTCAATTGCATGAGAGAGAGAGAGAGAGTGAGAGAGAAAGAGAGAGAGAAATGAGGTTTAATGTCCAAAATGGTTCAATTTTATTTCTATAATTCACCTGTGTGTATGGGTCTTTAGCCATGGGAGGAAACCGGAGGACCCGGAAAAAACCCACAAAGTTGCACAGGCGAGGGAATTAAAACCACGCCACTTGACTCAATGACAGACCTGGTGATCTAATGTGGACGTGTTACTGCCACCCAACCCCCTACAGTCTTTCGTATGATAAAGCTGTATTTATCAATGATTATAATAAACTGGTGTACATGATCAGTTTACATACCTGTCTATTTCCACCTGCCTTTACAATGGCCATTATAATATTCTCTGTTGCCATAAAGGGTAATTCTTGTTTAATTCTTCTTTCAATAACCTATTATATGACAAAATAGATAATGTAACATTAAACACAGCATGAAATGGCAGGATAACTATCCATACATTAATGGGTAATTTATTCAGTGCATATTCAAAGATGGATTTAATGTATTATTTGAAATGTAAAATAACAGTAAAGACTAATGTCCACCAGATGTAACAATGACAACTGCAAATATAACTCCTGCATCCTGCATGCTTGAAATAGAAACTGGTTTTAATACAGTGAATATGGTTTGCATCTACCCATATGTACCCAACACAATTCCACAACAAGCTATTAGGAACAATACTAGTTTCTTGACACGTGCGTCATGTTTTTAGTCAGTCATGTTAGCCCATTATGTTTAATTTCACGAAAACTGTTAACTGAATGGACAGGAATAATAACAATAAAATGTTGATAGATTACCTTTGGATAAACAACCAGTCCTTCAAATACATTTTGTAAAGTTCCTAGAAGTGAATCTGCTGATAAAAATGCTTCAGCAATTGAAATTCTCCTGTAATAAAACATAATATATCAATTAATGTATTTTAAATCACATTATTTCACCATCAGATAAGCTAATAATTTTATCAAGAAATGTTTAACATTGATCCTAAGTTATACAAAAAAATCTATACTGCTGTAAATTAAAACTTTAAAAAAAATGAAAACTGTTAAAACTAAATGTATCAGTAAGTTTTTAGATATTTTACCATGCACTTTATAATTTAACATAGGATCTCAAGCTTGCAACTGACAGCAACTGGCATTTTAGCAACCGAGAGCTACTGGCTTCAACTGAATCGAACTGAAATAGGTCGACCTGAGCCCCTCTTACAACTCAAAGCAACTAGTTCCAGTTGAAGCCAGTTGCTCATGTTTAACTTTCTACAACTCGCTTCAACTACCGGCAACTAGTTGTCGTTGACATGAGAGCTGGAAATAACATCAAGTGATAAGAGACATGTGTTCATTTGACTTTATAAACAGGCAAAATGGAAGCGAACAAAGGCATTCACTTATCAAATGTTGATAATGTCAACAATAATGTAATAATAAAATTATGGCAAGACAGACCATGCCTTTGGGGTGCTTCTACTAAAGTATTTGCCATTTTGTTGATCATGTGACAAATAAATTAACAGTCATGTGTTAAATGCAATCGCTATCATAGTATCAGTTGTGAGTCGACATGAGCCCTCCAAATTCAGTTGCTGATTGATCACCATAAGCACACTTTCAACTGAGCAGTTGCTCCAAGTTGCAAAGTCAACTAAAGCCCTGCTTTAAAGCATGAAAAGGGGTTAAAATGACCATAAACAAATATATGTCTCAGAATATCAATACAATATATTTTGTATGAACGACAAGGATGACTAGAATTATATGACATGTATTATTTATTATTGTGTGAGTCATTCTCCAAATCTCAATAATAAATATATTTATTGTGTACTGAAAATGTAATGTGTTGTGAATGCAGCTATTACCTCTAATGTCAAACTTATTTCAGTATTCATTGATGGTCATGATAACCTGTATCTCTTATATATAATAGTAAATGAGCGAGACACACAAAACTAAACCTACACAGACAAACTACACAGACACTGTAATAAATTAACAACAAATATCAAATCACATGACTGGATCCGGGACACTGTGATCTACAGCCTGTAATGATACAGGCTTCACTCAAAATAAAACAAACGGTTGCCATGCAAGATACGCACATATTTTTCAAGAGATGGATGGAGAAAAAGCTAAAAAACAAATACGTTATTTTTCATACAATCAGGGGCCACAATCCAGTAAGTAATGGTCTGATATGCGTGGATATCGAAAGGAACCGAGATTTTTGGGTTATAAACTTACATTTCAAGTTTCAACAAAATCGGATAAAAATTGTGACCTCTATTGGGTCCACAACCTTGATATACCATATTTTTACGCTATTTGAGAACGAGGGGCGGCCATTTTGTCTGTCAGTTTTGGGCCGATTTTCACAAAAATCTAACTCAGCCGTCCTTATGGTGTAACGGTGATATAATAATACGTTTTTTTAAATCAGATAAAAATTATGACCTCTATAGGGCCCACAAGCTAAAAAAACGATTTTTCCTACAATCAAGGGCCATAATTCAGGAAGTTACGGTCCGATATGTGCGAATATCGAAAGGAACAGAGATCTTTGGGTTATAAACTTACATTTCAAGTCTCAACAAAATCGGATAAAAATTATGACCTCTATAGGGTCCACAACCATGATATACCATATTTTTACGCTATTTGAGAACGAAGGGCGGCCATTTTGTCTGTCAGTTTTGGGCCGATTTTCACGAAATTCGAACTCAGTCGTCCTTAGGGTGTAACGGTGATATAATAATATGTTTTTTTAAATTGGATAAAAATTATGACCTCTATAGGGTCCACAAGCTAAAAACGCGATTTTTCGTACAATCAGGGCCAATAATTCAGGAAGTTACGGTCCGATATGCGCGAAAATCGAAAGGAACCAAGATCTTTGGGTTATAAACTTACATTTCAAGTTTCAAAAAAATCGGATAAAAATTATGACCTCTATAGGGTCCACAACCTTGATATACCATATTTTTACGCTATCTGAGAACGAAGGGCGACCATTTAGTGTCAGTTTTGGGCCGATTTTCACGAAATTCAAACTCAACCAACCTTAGGGTGTAACGGTGATATAATAATACGGTTTTTTAAATCGGATAAAAATTATGACTTCTATAGGACCCACAAGCTAAAAATGCGATTTTTTCAAACAATCAGGGGCCATAATTCAGGAAGTTACGGTCCAATATACGCGAATATCGAAAGGAACCGAGATCTTTGGGTTATAAACTTACATTTCAAGTTTCGTCAAAATCGGATAAGAATTGTGACCTGTAGAGTGTCCACAAAGAAATTGTGGACGGACGGACAGGGGCAACGGCATAATACGTCCACATGAAAATGTGGGTGTATAAAAATTGTAGCCTCTACAGTGTTCATAAGCTAAAAACGTGATTTTTCGTACAATCAGGGGCCATAATCCATGAAGTTACAGTCCGATACATTGTAATATCGAAAGGAACCGAGATCTTAGGGTGATAAACCTATATTTCAAGTTTCATTGAAATCAGATAAAAATTGTGACCTGTAGACTGTTCACAAACAATTGTGGACGGACGGACGGACGGACAGGGGCGACGACAATATACGTCCACATGAAAATGTGGGCGCATAAAAATTGAGACATCTAGAGGGTCCATAACTTTGGTATTACAATCTTTCACTATTTGGATTCAAGGAGCGTCCATTTTGTTGGGCAATTTCGGTTCGATTGTTTTGAAATTTGAACTCAACCATCATCAGGATGTAATGAAGATATATTTAAACAATTTTTAAAATTGGATAAAAATTGTGACCTCTACAGGGCCCACAACTGTCATCATGGTTTAACGGTGATTTATTCAAACCTTTTTTCAAATTGGTTAAAAATTGTGACCTCTAGCGGGACCACTAGCTAAAAACACAATTTTTTGTACAATCAGGGGCCATAATTCAGAAAGTTACGGTCCGATATATGCAAATATTGAAAGGAACTGTGATTTTTAGGTTATAAACAAAAATTTCAAGTTTCATCAAAATCGGATACAAACTGTGAACCTTTAGAGCACCATCCACAAGGTAAAAAGATGATTTTTCGTACAATCAGGGGGCATAATCCTTGAAGTTACTGTCCGATACATACCAATATCGAAAGGAACCAAGATCTTCGGGAGACAAACCTATATTCCAAATTTCGTCAAAATTAGATAAAAATTGTGACGACGACAATATACGTCCACATAAAAATGTGGGCGCATATCAAATAATAATTTACAACATAACATCATTGATTCCTCTATACTCCTAGGTTGTTAACCCAAATAAACTCATGAATATTTCATGTATGTCTTGTTTACACCGTGATTTAGTCAAAATAATTGTAGGCCTATGTAGTTGGACAAAAAAAAATAAAATAATACGAATAGCCTTTTGGCTATGTTATGTTTACACACTCCCATTATCATATGGATACAGTAGGGTGACCCACCATAAATAAATATCTCCATATATTTCGACAATTTCGCCACAATATTTATATATATGCCAAGCCTCAAATCAGTTTCACACAATTATAGTCACTAAATAAACGATCATGTTGTACTTAATAAGCTATGACCATTAATCATCTATAAATAATAGACTGAAAACTGGTTCCATGTGTCGTCCATAACATCCAGACACTTTTGAGTAAAAGATAGGTTACGTGCCCTTGTTTTGAAACTAGAGTCGCTTAACCAGTCTATCGACCATTCTACGGCTGATTGACAGGTCGGGATAATCAAGACTACTTTTTTACGAAACATAACAGAAAGCTAGAACAAGAAATTGAATTAAGAAATGAGCACGTTAGCTAGCTCAACAATTGTTTTAATAAGTTTGTAAAAGTAAAATGAAACTACTGCTAGTATCATGTTCCTGTCTAACCCGAGTGTTTCAGAGATAGTATTTGTACTAAACCAAAAGATGCCGCTCTTAACGGTACAGTTAATGATAAAGCGATTTAAAAAATGAAACGAACGTAATTTCTAAATCTGCTGTAATAACCAAGAAGCTTAATTTTACTGCTATTCAAAATCGTCAACAATAAATTTTTTACGGCTGTAATAGTTGATAGATTTGTAGAGAATTGCACGTGCCATGGCTATTTATAGTATCATACTGTCAGAAAGTTGGCCTCGACACGGCGAATGTGCACGCTTCAGTGGTAGTCTCAAACTATCAGCGGTTGACTGTATTTCTGTAGGTGCATGGGCCACCCTAGATACAGTACATGTTGTTTATACCCCAATCTGTTTATTTTTTTAATAATAAATTATAGTACATATACCTATTTGCACTGTCATCTAATGTTCTTTCCATCCATTGAACAGATTGTGTCATCAAAGGGTCTTGTATTAAACAAATTAAATGTCTAGCTAAAGCACAGCATCTTTCACTTCTCATAGGATTTCTTTTATATGGCATGGCACTAGAACCTATATAGAAATGTCATGAATGACTTGTATAGAAATAATTGTTTTACATAAATTTGAAAAATAATGCTCATAGACATTCATGATAATTTTAAACAATGTCTTGATTGGCCATGTTTCAATCCATTGAAAATTACAACCATATGATAGTCTAGAGAGTTGATTATGGACTTGTCATGTGAATAGATGTCTAATTAATAACTTACATGTGACCCCTATTGGCATATCGAGTCGGAAATTTTAAAAATTGAGTTATTGTTGTTTTCACATTCTCGGCCAATTCAATACCTTCAAAATAATGTATGGTTGGTTTGATTTGGGCAAAAATTGACTGAGCTGTGTCCATTTGATGTTGGTATGTTCCAAAACTAAATCACATAGCAACCAGGCAATTTATTTGCTATTTTGTTGTTCAATAAAAACATTTCCTATGACAGTGTTACCATTTAGAACAAATGAGAATACTCCATGCTTTAGTAATCCATGTTTTGTATATTATAACTATTATGAGAATAACTTCTGTTAATCTCATCAATTAATTAGCAACTTTCGTGATCCTAAGATTAAAATTGTTTATTGGGTAATCAAGTTTAGTTTATTGGGCAATCAAGTTTAATTTCTCGACCATCAAAGAGTCGCCACACCTATACGAGTGTTCTGCTATTCTCCGTGTACGTGTTATTATTCTGATAGAATAACAGAAATTTCAATTTCCTTTGTAAGAGATGCCGTTTACTTTAGAAGCCTTTTGGTATAGTGAAACAAACGGCGGAGAACTTGGAATAATTATTCGGGGTAAATAATGACTTGGGAAAGGTTTCATATATATCATTGACAATGATTAATCAACGACTCATTAATCCATGACAATTGATTAGTATTTTTCAATGACAAGTTTCAGGTTTAAACTAGATTAATTTATGATATGCCACGTGGGATGTCTCGGCCATTCAGTAAACAAGTTACGCTGTTGCTGGCTTGAAACTGGCTAAGGTTGTTTACGTTTTCAAACGAGTTTGTACTCATTGAAAATGATATCGGTAATGCTTTGGTCATATTTATCAACTAGAGATGTAACACTTCACAACAATGGCCAGTATATTGCAAGGGGGTTATATGATCGCCCAACAGCAAGCGAAGAAAAATGACTAATTCCCTGATAATTTTAACAAGTGGTTGCCATGCAAGATACGCCCACATTTTGCAAGAGATGGACAGAGAACAAGCTCAACAAGCCAACAGTGAGGCTGATGTCCCCCGCCGAAATTGCAAAATAAATAGATGACACATATTAATTAATCGCACATTTATTTTTTTCACTAAGTTTCATCACTCTCTATCAGATAGAATCAAGATTATCTTGTCCCAAACCATCGACAAATGAAATCGATTAGCTCTGCTTAGCTTCAGCTCGAAATGTTAATTATTGAACTCAGTCAAGACATTCACCTAATGAACATCTACATATACATCAAGTTTAAACATTCACCTAATAGACACCTATGCCAAGTTTGAACATTCTACCTCAATTAGAAGGAGAGTTATTGTGTTCCAAAGTTTCTACCAATCAAATTGCTTATCACTCTGCTTACCCTCAGCAAAAAATGTTCATTATCGAACTTAGTTAAGGTATTCATATAATAAATCTATACACCAAGTTTCATCAATCTCACTTAATTAGAACTAAAGTTATCGTGTCCCAAAGCATCAACCAATCAAATTGCTTATCTCTGCTTACCCTAAGCGGAAAATGCTCATCTTCGAACTCCATCAAGGCATTGACCTACTCAACACATACACCAAGTTTGAACATTCTAGCTCAATTAGGAAGAGAGTTATCGTGCCCCAAAGTATCAACCAATCAAATTGCTTATCTCTGCTTACCCTAAGCGGAAAATGCTCATCTTCGAACTCCATCAAGGCATTGACCTAATAAACACATACACCAAGTTTGAACATTCTAGCTCAATTAAAAGTTATCGTGTCCCAAAGCATCAACCAATCAAATTGCTTATCTCTGCTTACCCTAAGCGGAAAATGCTCATCTTCGAACTCCATCAAGGCATTGACCTAATCAACACATACACCAAGTTTGAATATTCTAGCCCAATTAGGAAGAGAGTTATCGTGTCCCAAAGCATCAACCAATCAAATTGCTTATCTCTGCTTACCCTAAGCGGAAAATGCTCATCTTCGAACTCCATCAAGGCATTGACCTAATAAACACATACACCAAGTTTGTACATTCTAGCTCAATTAGGAAGAGAGTTATTGTGTCCCAAAAAGTGTGACGGACAGACAGACGGACAGACAGAAGGACAGACAGACGGACAGACAGACAGACAGACAGACAGACAGACAGACAGACAGACAGACAGACAGACAGACGGACGAACCCATTTTAATAGTCCCCTGCTTTCTTCGAAAGGCGGGGGACAAAAAAAGAAGTGATTTTTTCGTACAATCAAGGGCCATAATTCAGGAAGTTACAATCCAATATGCATGAATATTGAGAGGAACCAAGATCTTTGGGCTATAACCATGTATTTCAAGTTACATCAAAATCGGATCAAAATTGTGTCCACTCTCTAGAGGGTCCAAAACCTTGATATACCATATATTTACATTATTTGCATACAAGGGGCAGCCATTTTGTCCGGCAGTTTTGGTCCGATTTGTATGAAATTCGGACTCAATCATCATAAGGGTTTAACAGTGATGTATTCAAACGTTTTTTAAAATCGGATAAAAATTGTGACATCTAGAGGGATCACATCCTAAAAACGCGACTTTTCGTACAATCAAGGGCCATAATTCAGGAAATTATGATCCAATATGTGCGAATATCGAAAGGAACCAAGATCTTTGGGTTATAAATATGTATTTCAAATTGTGACCTCTATTGGGTCACAACCTTGATATACCATATTTTTACGCTATTTGAGAACGAACGGCGGCCATTTTGTCTGTCAATTTTGGGCCAATTTTCACGAAATTCGAACTCAGTCGTCCTTAGGGTGTAACGGTGACACAATAATACGTTTTTTTAAATCGGATAAAAATTATGACCTATATAGGGTCCACAAGCTAAAAATGTGATTTTTTGTACAATCAGGGACCATAATTCAGGAAGTTAAGGTCCGATATGCGCGAATATCCAAAGGAACCGAGATCTTTGGGTTATAAAATTACATTTCAAGTTTCAACAAAATCGGATAAAAATTGTGACCTCTATAGGGTCCACAACCTTGATATACCATATTTTTACGCTATTTGAGAACGAACGGCGGCCATTTTGTCTGTCAATTTTGGGCCGATTTTCACGAAATTCGAACTCAGTCGTCCTTAAGGTGTAACGGTGATATAATAATACGTTTTTTAAATCGAATAAAAATTATGACTTCTATAGGGTCCACAAGCTAAAAACGCATTTTTTCGTACAATCAGGGGCCATAATTCAGGAAGTTATGGTCTGATATGCGCGAATATCGACAGGAACCGAGATCTTTGGGTTATAAACTTACATTTGAAGTTTCAACAAAATCGGATAAAAATTGAGACCTCTATAGGTTCCACAACCTTGATATACCATATTCTTATGCTATTTGAGAACGAACGGCGGCCATTTTGTCTGTCAATTTTAGTCCGATTTTCACGAAATTCGAACTCAGTTGTCCTTAGGGTGTAAACGTGATATAATAATACGGCTTTTTAAATCGGATAAAAATTATAATTTCTATAGGGTCTACAAGCTAAAAACGCGATTTTTCGTACAATCAGGGGCCATAATTCAGGAAGTTATGGTCCGATATGCGCGAATATCGAAAGGAACCGAGATCTTTGGGTTATAAACTTACATTTCAAGTTTCAACAAAATCGAATAAAAAGTGTGTCCTCTATAGGGTCCACAACCTTGATATATCATAAATTTAAGCTAGTTGAGAACGAATGGCGGCCATTTTGTCAGTCAATTTTGGGCCGATTTTCACGAAATTCGAACTCAGTCGTCCTTAGGGTGTAACGGTGATACAATATTACGTTTTTTTAAATCGGATAAAAATTATGACTTCTATAGGGTCCACATTTCAAGTTTCAACAAAATCGGATAATAATTGTGACCTCTATAGGGTCCACAAGCTAAAAACGTGATTTTTCGTACAAACAGGGGCCATAATCCATGAAGTTTCGATCCGATACATGCCAATATCGAAAGCAACCGAGATCTTATGGAGATAAACCTATATTTCAAGTTACGTCAAAATCGGATAAGAATTGTGACCTGTAGAGTGTCCACAAACAAATTGTGGACGGACGGACGTACGGACGGACAGGGGCGACGACAATATACGTCCACATGAAAATGTGGGCATATAATAAAAAAGTAAGACTTATGAATACGGTAATCTCACAAAACGTCCAAATAAAGGTGTTTCAAAATGTTGTATTGCTATTTTGATATTTTAGTTTGATAGATAGTATATTAATAGACTCATTTTTGTGAAAATCTCAATTTCAACTAAAATCAATATTTTCACTTGTTTTGTCTGTAGCTCAATATTAGAATTTGCGCATTCAGACTCATTTAGCCAGCACGGGTCACATATAGCAATTGAAACAAGATGAGGGTCCTGCAATAGGCAGATTTAGCTCTTACATAATCAGCCTTTGTCTACTTCTCTTTTCTTAGGAGAGACATCTGAACTGTTAAATATGCATGATATTTTATTTTCTTTTATGTGCACACGCTTTGTTTTGTATTTTGATATATTATGTACCCTGTATGTGGGTCTTATACTGTTGAGTTATGTGATTAAATACTTTGTACGTTTTGTTTCATATGCAGGTTTCATACTGTTTATTCATGAGTGCTCTGAATTTATGGCCGTCCATATTTTTGTATCCGTCCAATTTTTTGCACCTGTATTACATATTTTGTATATTGTATGTTGTCCTCAAGGGAGGTTCTGATGCAATACTGTGTGTCTTGTGTTATAATTGTCATATTGTTATAATTTTATGTACATGTTTATATTGTATGCTGTCCTAAATGGATGTTTCGATGCAATAAATCTTATCTCTCTTATCTCTAATGCATCTTTAAATATAAGAGAAGATAAATTCTGATTCAGGTGGTTTAAACTAAATTAATTTCTTCACTACAAATGTGTTATAAGTGAAAAGAAGAAGACTTTTTCAGTATCTTAGTGTTTTTTAATATTTACTACTTTTCATCTAAACGACTTCACAGAATGAATTACGATTTTTCTAATTAACAGACATGTGTTTAATTTAAAAGCTCAGATTTTCACAGTTTAGCATTTGAATGGTATTGAATAATGAAGTAGGATTAACCGTTCTACTTAGATTTGACCTCCAGCTATTGACCCTTTAAGAGAGAGAGAAATAGAGAAATGTAGTTTAACGTCCACTTGACACAAACTAGGTCATTTCAGGACTAACAGATGGTTCAATTTTATTTCAATAAACTCGCTTGAACGTACAAGTCTTTGGCAAAAACCAACAAGGTTGGACAGGCGATGACCCTTTAAGACATAACTATAGGCTAATTGGCTTATTTAAGAAAACAAATTATGACCAAACATCACTTTTAAAAAAGCGGTCCTACTTTCTACTTTTTTCGTCTTGATTCAAACAATGTTCTTATCAAACAAAAAAACCCCACGAGGATTATGTTTAACAATAGATTTGATATTCTAATCACATTGTCTACGAATTCTAAAACACTTAGAACACTGTGACATTACAAAGAACTAGGTTTATTTCTTTTTTTTAATTTCTGTTTACATCTGTGTGTGAGTAAGTGTAAAAGTTTGTTAAGGAGGTAGTTATAGTTATTGAATAAACACAGACTACTATAGAACAGATAGCAGTTTGACCCACACTATTTTAATAATGATTGAATCTAAAATAGAAAGCCTGTTTTATCTGTTCTGAAATAAAGTGACTATTATTTAATCATTCATCAGTCTCTCCGTTTGTTAAAAAAAAATGAAAAAAATAAGTGCACATGTTCTTCCTCTTACCTATCTGATCTTTTTCAAATGGTTCTTCTATTTCTTTGAAATTAGCTAGAATTCGTATATCAGAGCAAATCTGTCAAATAAAAACAATATTTATTGTAAAAAGCTTTGAATTAGATTATTTTTTTATTTGAGACAAATATTTCATTAAATAATAAAATATCACACCACAAACAATTTAATATTACATACCGCTAATTTAAAAAAATAAATTGCAGGTAATTGTACATTTAACAATATGCATTTTTTAAATTTCATTTATTTGGTTTGTCAAAAAAAAAAGATGTTAAAAAGTGTGCATTTTTATTTTGCAGTGAAAAGTTTTGTGTTATTGTGAAATAACATGTACAATTATTTCACTTCTATTTTATCTATAATAATTGTTTGGGTTTTCATGGTATGCTAATAGTTGTAACATTCTTCAGCCATTTCCTTTTCTATATATTGATAAATACAGGCAGATTAATAACATGGTGTTATCCCATTATCAACTATGATCAAATAAAAACCTCCCTCTCTATATAATAATGTGTAACAATGAACAAAGATGACGTCACATTAAGTACTACTAGGTATCCAAAGTATTTCAACTGAAACGAACAGTCAGAGGAATATTGTAACCACAAACCAGACTGGACTAGTCAGCTGACACTCAAACACCTAATGTCTTTTATTACTACTGCATGTAGTTTGGAGTGGTAGATCATTTATTTATTGATATACTGAATATAAAGATGAATGTATTTAAAAGTTGCTTTTCTCGAGATAAAAAAGTTGTGGAGTTTACAGCACGATCATCTATGATAATTTCACCTGTATCTGGGCGAGTAACAGAGATAGATGGTAAGTAAATATAGATAATCCCCAACAATGTATCAGAAGATAAAATTACATTTATAATAACTTTATCTGGCTTGTCAGGTTTTTTAACGTTTGTAAGGAAAAGCAGAAAAAGATACAAAAATGTAATTTACAAGAAATGTATGCCAATTTATATACAAGAATAAACTGAACATAAAAAGTTGACATTATTGTAATATTTATAAATATACTGGACATAGGTCAAATTTTTCCAGCTGTATCTCTATACAGATTAAATGATGATAATTTGGGTTATTTTTCCTTTTAATTTGTGGGGGCTTTGGCAGCAGAGTATTATAAAGCATGCACTTTAGATCATAAGGTCTCTCATTGAATCAAATGATGTAGTTACAAACCCAGGCTAGTATGTAACAAGGAGTAGGGTTTTCCCTGGATCTTCAGGTTTCCTCCCACTGGTAAAGACCACTACTCAAAAACATATAACTAAAATATAGATGTACCATTTTAATATGACAGCATAATATATCGATTATTCCATGTATTCCAGTCAAAAAACGTTCAAATATTCAAATGAAGATACAAAATTAGGCTTGACAATAATGTAAAATTTAACCAATAAAACAAAGTACCAAAAAAGTAATTCATTTTTTCTTGTTTTAAAAAACACCCATATGTAGTCAATTCACAAGCTCATAAATGTTTTTACTTCATTTCCAAGTCAATAAACTTCTCTTTAGATCAAAGGCTCATTGCATCATTGTAGAGCAATAGAAATCCCTAGCAAACTACAATGTTGTGAAACATGAGTTTCTAACAGGAATATATGTCCGAAAGTAGTTCAATTCCGTTCAGTTTTTACAAAGATATTTTGAAATAAAATTTCATTATTCTACGCTGCTCGCTATGTAATAAGCCTGCTGTCATTTTGTTGTCTGTGAATAACCACTGATGGGCCTATTCTAAACTATGACTGAATCCTAGCCAGAGATTATCTAGTGTAGGTATTTTGAATTTATTTTTTTAATTAAAAGTTAAATTACAAATCTGAGTATATTAGCATGAATTAAGCGGTGAGGAATTTGATATTTTAGCGAAAAATGCAAGTGACGCGTCATTAATGTACATGTATTGATGTATCGTACATGTCATACGTTCACATTTCTGCACAGACTTCAATTATTTTTATATCTCTGTTATTTTTATCTGAATGATGCCCTATCATGGCTAATGTTTTTTTTTAACAATTTAAATTGGCAGATGTGACAAGTGATATTTCATTTTAAAATAAATCAACAAAATGCTCAATTCGACATATTGACATTGCAATGAAAACATTGATTTATCATAATAATTTAAAGCTGCAGATCAAAATGCTTCCTGGATTAAACAATTATAATCTTTACAGTCAAGTTAATAATGTTATGGTTATTTTTTACATATCACCCCAACAGTTTCACAGAGATCAAATCTCGCATGGCTTCTACCAAGGATTTTTACATCCATTTATTGTAGTTTTACTAAGGTTGTTCATTCCTTGTGGTCTTGGTGTTTATGTTTGAAATATTTCATCAGACAATAATGAAATGATCTACTGATACCAGGTCTCTTGTTTCAGTTTCTTGACTGAATGGTAGTCAAATTGACTGGATTGAGAATTTATCTATCAGTCAATTTTCATTGCAAGAAATCTTAATTTTAAAGAATTTAACCTCAAAACAAAACAAATACAGTGTAAAAACACTTAAAAATATATTTTAAAAATGGGATAACACTAAAAAAAAAATATTTTGTTAAATAACCAAAGTGATGCTTTAATTGAATTTGATGTCTTGATTTGTTTTGCCAAGTGGGTATCTGTCTACACTTAACATTTTAAATTTAGAGATATTGTGAATATTAAGATATAATGTATTTTCTCTTCAATGACAGACAGCTTGAGCTCAAAACGTAACTCAAATAAGTAAACTAACCACATAGGCATATGGGCTCGATGAATGTTAGGAGGGCAGACCTTGCACTACCTGACAAAATTTTGGGTTACAGACGGCGGTGAATGAGCAGAGCTTACTCCACCCCCAGCAAATTTGGGAATTTTGACGGCCACAAATGCACTTTCCTGCTATATCAGCCCATGATACAACAACTTCAAAGTGATCTAATATAGCCCAACTAAGGTGGCTGACTTGATTTCCAATCAAGCAATCAATCGTTCACAGTCCAATTAAAAGAAAAGTAAAATTTTTGTTTTCACTTTACCCGTTTGCCCAAAAGTCAGATTGACCCCCCTGGCTCGTACGCCTATGACTAAATAGCTTCCACTTACAACATTTATATATTATATATTTGACTTAAATTATCGTGATTTAGCTTTTTATTAGGCAAATGAGTCCTCTGCTTTTAAATGTAAATTTGACCTTGTATGCAAACTGTACTCATTGATATCAAATAGTGTCAAACTAATGGTTTATGGCCAATTGACAAAATTAAATTGTCAATTCTTACCGCTCAGAAAGTATGAACATATTTCTTTTTGTACTAGGTAAATGAACTCCAGACTATAGCAAGTTCACACAACATGAGACTATTATATAGATTACATCTTTATTTTAAAAGAGAATCATGTTACTTTTTATTGTTAACTACAATTAAAGTACAAGTTTTTATCTGATCAGTATTATATAATATTACAATGTGTCTATAGAATTTAACCACCAGACTGTACTTATCATTATTTTATAAAATATTTATACCATTTGAAGACAAAGAAAAGTACAGCATGTGCCCACCCAGTTTTAATAAATGATTATAAAGATTAAAGACGGTAGTTGTAAAAGTACATATAGCATAACCGGTATTTATAAGATACTGTGTGGCCTGTGTGCATGTTACAAATCGCATAAAAGGTTTGCCACATCTGAATGAACATTGACTACTATAGTCCAAGATTCAATGTACAAGAGCCCAAGTTCAATCAATGTATTATCTGTAATCATTTCTAAATCTAATGCAGAAATCTACCTTTCTACTCTTAAAGTTCATCTACCATCTACAAATTGTTGGAAATTTATTTAAATTTCTCTTTTTTTGAGGGAAGCCAAGGTGGCTAAGTGGGTAAGACGGAGGACCTGACAAGGACAGCTGTCTATTTGTTCGGAGTGCACGAAAAAACGAGGACCTGTGTAAACATTGGCGTGCACGTAAAAGATCCCTTGGCAGTTGGAATTCGGAATAAGAGTAGGCCCGGGCAAAATTTCCTTTATAGCACATTGTATGGCGTATGCTCGTCTTCATTAGCCCAGTCGGGGCAGAACAGTAGGACGTTAAAATCCATTTAATTTCATTTTCATTTTCTTTTTTTGAAAGTGACCAATAGCATAATAACTTTACCATCTAGATTAAGAATTGTGGACAGATGGCTGGCAGTACAGACAGCAGAATATGACCAAATTTAATTTTAAACGTGGCCTTTAAAAACGTGACAAATTTTTATGGATTACTTGATTAATGGATAGTGACGGACCAATCCAATGTTTTTGTTATAAATTTTTAGCAATTGCGAGAAGAGTTGCCAATCTTGCACTAGGAGGTGTTTGATAGAAAAAAATTTGAATCTTCTACTCATATTCTATCGATCCAATATGACAAATACCTGTACCAACACAAAAAGGAACTATTTTGAAATCGGACATGAAACATCTTGGATGTAAATACCATAAAGGAAACTGGATTCAGATAGACTACAATATTATTGAACAGGCCTTAAAGTCATATAGTGTACTGTTTGCAAACAAAGCAAAAGTAAAGGAATGCAGGCATGTGTAAAGAGGTGGCTCAAGGGGGTCCCCCCGACCCCACCTTGCTGGCACTGAGAATATTTTGTTTTCTCCTACATTCATGGAAATAATGCCGTTTTGGCTTACTCCACTGTAATCCCACACATTTATGCACCTAAATGAGCAGAAATATTGTATCAAAGCTTCTTATTTTATGAAATTTGCAGGTATATCCACAAGCTAACACCAAATTTGACACTGTCTCCACCTTGGACCCTCCGCTGCCCAAATTCCTGGACATGCCCCTGGAATGTGAACATTTATCTCAAAGTATTAAATAGACAGAGTGCTCATTTGTCTTCGCGATGCATAGGCTAGAATACAGCAAAAATATAAGTTCTTACTCATACTCTCCCTTTAATTAGGATATGAGATTAAAAAATGTTCCAATTCTCTCCTTTCAAATGATATTGTCCACCCAACTAAATCTTTTCCCCAGAAATCTAAAGATTAAAGAAGTCAAGGACAATAACTTATCGAATATACATCAATCTAATTTTTAGACAATTAATTTGAAAATCATTATTCATTGAATATGTTCTGCAAATCAATTGACTGAGATTTATAGTGCATTCACAAGCAAACAGCACTAAAATCTAAATAATACTATATAAAGATAGATAACCTATGATGACCTGACATTTCACCTCTATCTCAATGCAATAGAAAAGGTCATAGATAGGTAGTCAATACTAGTAACATCAATTTAATATAGAGTGAATTGGTATGTGAAAACTACATGTATCAGTGGGCAATCATTGCATTATATTCTGTCAATCAAATTATTGATATTACAAAATACATCTATGTTTTAATTCTATTCAAGTCTCAATATAAATATTACATAATACTGTAGAAGTCAACTAGTCCAATTGCTCTCTATCTATTGATTCCCTAAGTACTCAATGCCTTTAAAATCAATAATAACAAACTCTTAGTCACCGATTATTCAGATATCTCCGTGCAAAACTGTTGTTATTATTGCCATACATCAATATCTTATGTAAAGAACATTCTAAATTGTACAGAATATTTAAAAGGGTAACTTTCTGATCAAATGTCACATACAACTTCTTAAAAACATTCTGGACAACTCTGTCCAGACACCACAGTAAATTAAAAATTGCATTCATGACATCACTGGCAGAATGAGAATTAGCAATTGGAAACTGAAATTGGTAGAAACATGGCTAACAGTTAACTTTGAGACACAAAATAAATACATCTGACTTATTCAATAAAAAATGGTAATTTTTAAGCTTGGGGACGCCATATTGAATGATCTGGTAGTAGTGATAGCGTAGCACACGAACAGGGGCATCTCGAATTTTTCTTCAAAGTTGATCCAAGTGGCTATCATCTCTATGTACCTTTTCTTAGAATCGTGTATTATTACTTGCTGCACTGGTAAATAATATAGAAAATTGTTATATATTGCAAAAAAAAAATCCAAACAATTTTTTTTACTTTAGATGCGTAAAAACTAAACAAAATGAAGTAAATATTTCGTAGCCTTCACAGAGTGAAAAAATGAAATATGTTAAAAATTGGGTTACTCTAATTAGGAAAATTAATGCAAAAATCAATAACTTAATTGTGAATACTGGTACATGGAATCACAATGTAGTTAACGTAATATTTCTTAATTAACTTGTTTATTTCCTATTATTTATTAATAAGCATTTTATATTTTGCTAGATCCAAATAAGGATGTATGGAGAGATCAATACTCATCAGGTGATCAGAAAGATAAAAGTCGTATACCATTCTGGAACAGTGGTTTCTCTGCCTGTCCTAAATGTGGTGAAAGAAATATGGATAGGTTTGAAGAACGAGCTGGTATAAGACATAATGGTGAGACATATGGTACAGAAGTTTTTATGTGTAAAACTAAAGATTGCAAATGGTCAACAAGTTTTCAATTTGATGATGCTAGTAAGTTTGTACATTTACTATAACAGCTTTTTGGTGCTGTTTTTATAACTCATACTTTTGTTGTTCTGTCTGTAAGATCCGGATAAGCATCTTTTGGTAGTCTTTTTATAACTCAAACTATATCTCGCATTATAACATGTTTTATTAGTCTGCATCTCTAAAATCTGCATAACCATCTTTTTGGTGCTCTTTCTATAACCCAACCCATAATATCTTTTATTTTTCTGTCTATATACATGTAGCCATCTTTTCAGAGTTTTTCTAGAACTCATACTTTAACATGCTTTGTTGTTCTGTCTATAAAATCTATATAACCATCCTTTGTTGTTCTGTCAATAAGATCTATATAACCATCCTTTGTTGTTCAGTCTATAATTTCTATATAACCAACCTTTGTTGTTCTGTCTGTAAGATGTATATAACCATCCTTTGTTGTTCTGTCTATAAGATCTATATAACCATCCTTTGTTGTTCTGTCTATAAGATCTATATAACCATCCTTTGTTGTTCTGTCTATAAGATCTATATAACCATCCTTTGTTGTTCTGTCTATAAGATCTATTTAACCATCGTTTGGGGCCTTTTCTATAATATATTTAAATTTCTTTGTGCTCTTTCTTAAACATAATCTAGAGCTCTTTTGGTGTTCCAAGGTTCTCATTCTTCATTGGTTCTGATTTGTTAATAAAATTGCCCTTTCCACAAAAATCATTACCTCCTTTGTACAATATCTTTGGAATTCATTCTACACCATCTGCTGGTACTCTTGAGTATTTATATATTTTAATACTTTTTCTATATCACTTTTTGTTCTGTCTATATTAATACATTTATGCTTCCAGACGGTCAATTTATAAATGTGCTTGGGGTTCCTTCCAATATATTTTGCTATTTCTGTAACATCTTTTTTTATTTATATACTGGTATATGAGTTTTGTCTATATATGTATACATAATTTGGTACTCTTTCAATAACATCTTTTTCTATATACCAAGATAAGATTCAAGATTCAAGATTCAGAGCATAAAGACATTACAAATTCCAGACGCGATAAAATTATTGGTCTAGGAGCCCTAAAGACCTATCTCATTCTTCACCAACCGAGCTAATGAAAACGAGCATATCACATAGAATGTGTGGAGGGAAAGTTTCTCCGGACAGCAGCGCTACAGCCTACTCTAATTTCTAATTCCAACTGTCAAGGCTTCTTATACATGCATGTGCACATTTGCGGCACTGCTCCTTTCCACAACTGACAAATGAAATGAAATGAAATGAAATGGGGTTTAACGTCCTACTGTTTTGCTCCGAACTGGGCTAATGAAGACGGGCATACGCGATACAGTGTACTATGAGGGAAATTTTGCCCGGACAGCAGCACTATGGCCTACTCTTATATCGAATTCCAACTGTCAAGGGATCTTTTACGTGCACGCCAATGTGTACACGGGACCTTGGTTTTTTGTCCCATCCGAACGACTAGACAGCTTTCCTTGTCAGCCCCTCCGTCCTGCATCAATGACAAGGGAGAACCACGCCGGAAAATCTGGATGAACTTTCTCGCCCAATGCAGGGATCGAACACTCGACCTCCAGGCTAGGGGCCAGCGTCTTACCCACTTAGCTACGTGATCCCCCACAACTGACAAGGAACCGTGCTGGAAAATACTGAGGTACTCTCTCGGCCAACACCAGGATCGAACCTGTGATCTCTTGGTTTAATGTACCAGTAGTATACATAATATACATATATTTCACTTCAGATACAGATAATTGGCACTCTGAGACAGCTGGTTGGCCAAGAGGAATTCTACATTTTCCTAACACATATTTGTTGATGTGGGCTGATAAACATAAGTTACCACCAACCGTTAAACATCAGATCTTCATACAAAAACTTGATGGAAATAAAATTTTGAAATTATTAGAAGAAAATAAACTGGCCGAGACTCTAAAAACAAACGCGAAAATGGTTAAACATATAAAGAAAGCGATAGATGACAGACATGGCTGTATCTTATTACACTGAAGATCAACTATAACCCTTGTGTTAAGGAGGCTTAAGAGTTTATCATTAAAGGTCTGAATAACTCTAATTACATCTTACTGATTACAGGATACGGTCCACTAACATTCTTCAATGACATGGTCAGTTTTCATCACAAACTTGAAATGGCTAAATCAAATTATTTATGGCTTTGATACATTGACATACATGGGCAACAAGTTCATGAATGTGAAAAAGTGACTACTTTGTTATCTTATTATTCATCACATGTAACAACTGAAGACAGACTAAAAATTGATTGAAACACGTTAACACTAAATCGATATGAAGTTTGTGCCAGACCTGGTAAAAATCAATTAAAAGCAGAACAGGTATTAAACATGTTGAGTGTGTATTATAGCAACAAGATTTATATATTGTGGATAATAAAATCTGTGATCACATATAGAAGTCAACTGACAATATGTAACTTTACGCTATGTTAATACTAATTGACAATAACAGTCCGTCATTTTAAATACATTATGTAGGATTTTTTTTTTTCATTTTTAACATTTAATGTCATTTAATATACTACCAGTAATACCGGTATTTCATATTAGACCATCACTTTTAAATCTTGACTAAATAATTTGTTTGTGTTGAATGCATACTGCTTAAATTACATCCTTATATGAATATATCTATAGCATGCATTTAACTTAATTCTCTAATATATCATTATAAACAAACATCAACCGGGAGAAAATTGATACTTTTAATCTGAATAAACCAATAATAAAAAAATAATTGTGTTTATGGTTACTTGACCGACATTATTTGTTTGTTTTAGCACTGATAAACAATTTTCCCTAATTTCCCAGGCCCTATAACTTGGTCTTGGTGTGATTTTCTGTAGATAAATTCTAACACTGAAATCTTGCTCAGTAATTAAGCTAGAAATGCAGGAAATAGATAATTTAAACACCACGGAAAAAAAAATAATAAAAAAGTTTTAAAGATTTACCAACAGATGCTTTTAGGGGAGGCAAAGTAACCGTAAACACAGGTATTTTTTTTTTCTGGCCTAAAACTAGAAGTAAACATATAAAAACGAGGGAATCCTTGTCGAAATGTTGCCAACAGACAGAAATGTGTTACATTCTTGTCACCTGACAATACAAGTACCCTTTTATAAATGATGTTCAGATAAATAAAAATCTTTAGTGCATTTAGAAGGTCAACAATGAAACATAGTGCAATATCTTAACTGTAAATAACACTTATGGTAGCTTGGCAAAATTCTCCTGTAAATCAAAAGGCATCTCAACCCTCATAGGTTTTTTTTGTACAGGTAAACTTACATAATGTGTGTACTGGTATGTATAAGTTCAAAATACAGCTTACAATTAATATATAAAAAAAACTGTTAAAGATGCATTATGTAACATTTAGAAACAGAGCTGACCATTCTTACTATAATAGTTCAAAAATAGATAATAAAAAAAATGAATATATTAGAAATGTCGTTCAAATTACTTTATTCTGGGCTTATTACTTTATGACTGTTTGAAGATGTAGCACAGATTGTTTATTATCATAGCAATGGTACATGAAAACCAAGACTAAGTCTAAATTATCCATTTTATCGTTAAATTCTAAAATCTTGCAGGTGTCCAAATTACTCCAAGTCCATTTAAATCTCATTCATGTGATGTTCTTGAAGATGATTATAGGATTGTCATGTGAATAAATGTCTAGATAATAATTTATATAACATTTGAAGCCAGAAAAAAGTCCTGCCATAAGTAGATTTAGCTGTTACATAATACATCTTTAAAATCTATTTAATTCAATTGCATCTTCCTTGTATGATTACTATCTTTTAATATATACATCATATATGGATAGGTTGACTTGTCCCATGTTTTAATACTAACACTTTGCTCAGCTTAATTCTACACTACCTATTTCTCCTATTGTATTTCACATAAAAAAATATTGCTCTGTATGTCTATACGTCTATCTTTATAAGATCTTTACAATGGCTTATCTAACTTTAACATGTATCATAAATCTTAGTATACATGAAATGGTCAATAAATATAACAACAAAAAGCTAGAAAAAAAAGTAAAGTGGGTTGTTAAAGAAAATCTAATAAAACTAACTACGCATTTCTATTTAATTCCTGCCAAGTGCAGTGAAACATAAAATCACTGTAAATATGTATATTTGACTATGTGATAACTGTATATTTGTAAATAAAATAGCATACACAATTCAAATGAGATCTTGGATTTTACTTACAAGATGGCTAAATATTCTAATAAAGATATCTTAAATTGTGTATGTCAAATGGCTAAAGAATGTATTTGATATGCATATTGTTAGTGTGTATCATATTCCTGCAACAACTGTAACTACCTACAGAACAAAACATCAAAATATTTTTGGATGAAGTCTGTTAAAATTAGAGGGAATGGAAGCTTATTGATCCTATTTTTTTTAAAGTGACGAGGACTTTTAATGACCCAATTCTAGTCTGTGTTCACATCAACTAAAAATGTCTTATGGTCAAAATCTTGAAAAAGATTGCCATATCCAGACCAGAGATAGAGAAATAGGGTTTATCATCTTCTTAACACAAACTATTTTATTACGGTACAAACATAGGATACAATTCATTTCAACAATTTGCTTGCATGTAGGATTCTTCTGCCGTGGGAGGAAACCCTTCTCTTTGTCACGTACAAGCTTGGGATCAAAACCATACCACTTGACTCAAAGACAGACCTAATGATCTAAAGTCCACAAGTTTGACCACCAGAACACCCTAGCACCCACACGGATGGGACTGAACTTATGACTTGTATAGATAAGGGATCATGAGTCCTGAATATTTGTTTATTATAGAATATAATATTATTTTTACCTTGTGAACTGATGAACCAAGACTAGCCAGTGTATTTAAACAATCAACATCAACTTTACGTGTGTAGGTTTGACCACATATCAAAAAGTGACTGAAATGTACAAAATCAAAGGGATACTAGTCAATTTACTTTGTTGCTAGGTGTAAATCATTAATCATTTAGAGATGGGATGCCTGGCAATGAAACTGACAACCACCAGTTTCAAGTAAGGTACACAATTTGAATTTCGTTCAGTTTTAAAATGAATTTCTTAAATATTTATAAACCAGTGGTTGCCAGGCAAGATATGCCTACATTTTGCAAGAGATGGATAGAGAACAAGCTAAAAAAAAAAGCTATAGCCTGAAATGTGATAATATCGAATTGGACTGAGATATTTGGGACATAAATATATATTTAAAGTTTCATCAACCTCGGTATTCCATACTTTTACACTATTTGCGTGAAAGGGGCAGCCATAATTGGTTCTTTAATTCAGATAAAAATTGTGACCTCTAGAGGGACAAGCTAAAAACGGGATTTCTCATACAATCAAGTGTCATTATTCAGGAAGTTACGATTCGATATGCGTGAATATCGAAGTTTCATCAAAATCAATCAAAATTGTGTCCTCTAGAGGGTCCACAACTTTGATATGACATATATTTACAATATTTGTGTACGAGGAGCAGTCATTTTGTCATCAGCTTTGGTCCGATTTTTACGAAATTCAAACTCAACCATCATAAGGCTGTAACGGTGATATATTCAAACGTATTTTTAAATTGAATGAAAATTGTGACCTTTAGAGGTACCACAAACTAAAAACGTGATTTTTCGTATAATCAAGGGCCAGAATTCAGGAAGTTACAATCCGATATGCGTGAATATCGACAGGAACCAAGATCTTTGGGTTATAAAGATGTGTTTTAAGTTTCATCAAAATCAGATTAAAATTGTGGCCTCTAGTGGGTCCACAACCTTGATATACCATATACTTACACTATCTGCGTACGAGAGGCGGCCATTTCGTCCGGTAGTTTTGGTCCAATTTGCATGAAATTCGAAATTATCGTTCATTAGAGTGTAACAGTGACATATTCAAACGTTTTTTTTAAATCACATAAAAATTGTGACCTCTAGAGGAACCACACAATTTTCGTACAATCAAGGGCCATAATTCAGGAAGTTATGAGCCGATACGCGCCTCTAGAGGATCCACAACCTTGATATATCATATATTTACACTATTTGCGATCAAGAGGCAGCCATTTTGTCTCGCAGTTTTGGTTTGATTTTCCCGAAATTCGAACTCACCCATCATTCCGGTATAACGGTGATATATTCAAGCAGCTTTTTAAATCAGATAAAAATTGTTACCTCTAGAGGGACCACAAGCTTCATCAAAATCAGATGAAAATTGTGACCTCTAGAGTGTTCACAAGCTAAAAGCGTGATTTTTCGTACAATCAGGGGCCATAATTCATGAAGTTTTGATCCGATACATGCCAATATCAAACGAAACCAAGATCTTTTAGAGATAACCCTATATTTCAAGTATCGTCAAAATCGGATAAGAATTGTGACCTGTAGAGTGTCCACAAACAAATTGTGGACGAACAGATGGACAGTTAGACGGACAGATGGACAGGGGCAACAACAATATACTTCCACATGAAAATGTGGGCGTATAAAAAATTGAGTTGAGTTTTAACTTTAAGATTATCAAATCTTTGACTCACTAGTATGTTCAATCCCATACAAAACTTACACAGTCTTTCTACAATAAGCTATGCTTGAGAACAAACAAGTTAGTTGACCAACCAATTCCTACATCGACAAATTTAGGCAGAATAAAATTAAGTATCCTTCAAGAATTTTGGAAAGTATCTATTCCACTTCCATTTCATATCTAATGGAATTGAAAATGTTTATTTAGTCTTTATTGTGTGTATGAAAGATATAAGATGCATATAGAATAAAATAATAAAATAGTACATAAATTACTTTGGACAGAGACAGCACATCTGTGGCTTTTATTGATGTAGTCGACATATACCATCAGACATATCTTTTTAAATAAAATATGTACTTTTGGTATAGAATTAAGTAGTAGCGAGAGAGAGAGAGAGAGAAATGGGGTTTAACGTCCACTCGACACAAACTAGGTCATTTCGGGACTAACATATGGTTTAATTTTATTTAATTAATTCGCTTGCGCGTAGGGGTCTTTAGCAGTGGGAGGAAACCGGAGGACCCGGAGAAAACCCACGAGGTTGGACAGGCGACCCTACTCCCTGCCACGTACAACCGGGGATTGGAAACCACGCCAGTTGACTCAATGACAGACTTTATGATACAGCGCGCGCACGCTTTAAGTAGTAGCAGTTGATAAGCCATGTCCTTGAATAACTATGTAAGCATCTTTAATGGATGCCATTAAGGGTAGAGATCTATCTTCAAGGTAAATAGTTCTATGTGAGCAGAATAGTACAAACAGTCCATCAAATTTTACATCGACTTAAATAAGTGACAATGAATAAAATGACTGTGACACAAACATCAACAATCAACGCACTTTGACGTTGGAAGTAAGATTTAGTCCATCTTGAACAAACAAATTTGACAGAAATATGATATTTTTCTTCGTTTAAGTAAATACCTCTTAAATCCTGCAGATTCTGTTACCAAGTCATCTAATTTATAAACCTAGAATAAAAATTTAAAGATTGTGGATAAAAATGTTCCAAGGGAGATAATCCTATTACGCTTGCTCCCTTAATCCACAAGTTAAGCCCCACTGACTGACTGAATGACTTACACAAGTTACCTACAAATTCATATTCTTAGAAACAACCCCATTCTTACTTCAATCTGGTTAAAGAAGTTAATAAAAAAAATATTAAATAATCGATTATCATTAAATTAATGTGATCTTAAAGATGAATGACAAAAGTGTGTATTGATATTCAGCTTAATCAGCCATGTTGTCATATGCTATACACATGTATTCAATATTCATAAAACAAATGCAACATACCTTTTCTTCATCGCCATCAAATAAAGCTAAAAAACTTGCTTGAGTACCAGTTGTTCCTTTTACACCTCGGAATCGTAAATCATTTCTTGCTCGTTCTATATTACGTAAATCCATCAATAAATCCTGTATCCAGATACATGCTCTCTTACCAACAGTACTCAATTGAGCTGGTCTGTAACATTAAAACATATTACTTGAAAAATGTTAAAATAAGGCTTTGCTTTTAATCTCTAATTCTGACTACAAATATCAACAAGATGACTAGTCATCAACAGCCCGCGCCCTTGCACTTGTTTGGAAGAAATAAGGAAAAATAACTTCTTTATGCTATTGGTAATGTATACATGTAGCTGTTTGTATTGTTACAAAGTTTTGAGCCAATCAATGAAAGAATAGTACATTTGCAAATACCCAAATAACCTAGAACAGGAATCATATATCCTATAATTTATGTAATGTATCATTACGATTGTACTGCAGACATTTACGCTGGCATGTAAATGATTTAGTACAATCCTCACATTTATTCATGTTTCTTCCTCTCTGTAACAGTAATAAATGTACATGTATACAAGCAAGGTTTTTAAAATTAATGACGAATAGTTGAATGTGTATTTAAATGAGTTTTATGAGTAAATGATTTACTACAAACATCTCTTCTCCTTTAGGAATGTCCAAAAACTGATGAGAAAATGGTTTATGAAAGCATAACAATGAAGCGGCAAAATATAGATATTCAAGTAACAATTATACAAAAAAGTGAACTTAACAAAATACAATATGTTGATCATGTTAGACTTTCGTAAAGTAAATAATGAGTGAATCATATACTATAACTGAAAAAAATGTAAGTTCTTCATCCTCTTATTTTGAATTTCTCAGATTTGATAATTTTATGTGTTTCCAGAAATTCCTAAATAGCAAAAGGCACAACTACTGTAATAGGTTGATGTGTGTACAAAGTTTCAGAAAGATATCTTGAATGGTTTATGAGATATGCTCCGGAAACAAAATTGTACACCAAAATCTAAGTCAAATTTGTTTCCATGGAAACACAAAAAATATAAATCTCAGAAATTTCTAAATAGCAAAAGGCACGACTACTGTAATGGGTAGATGTCTGTACAAAGTTTCAAAACGATATCTTAAACGGTTTATGAGATATGCTCCGGAAACAAAATTGTACACCAAAAACTAAGTCATTTTTGTTTCCATGGAAACAGAAAAAATATAAATCTCAGAAATTCCTAAATAGCAAAAGGCACAACTACTGTAATGGGTAGATGTCTGTACAAAGTTTCAAAAAGATATCTTGAACGGTTTATGAGATATGCTCCGGAAACAAAATTATACACCAAAAACTAAGTCAAATTTGTTTCCATGGAAACACAAACAAATATAAATTCCAGAAATTCCTAAATAGCAAAAGGCACAACTACTGTAATAGGTTGATATGTGTGCAAAGTTTCAGAAAGATATCTTGAACGGTTTATGAGAAATGCTCCGGAAACGAAATCAGACCGGACGGATGAACCCCGTTTCAATATCCCTCCCTAACTTCGTTCGGTGCAGGATAACAAGTTATCGTTGCATATTAACAGTTATAAAACAACATCATCTTAATGCTAGGTTCCCACTATCACGATTCAAGCTACAATTGAAATCGTGGAGTAATTGTGATGATCCTATCAGGTCTTATCATATATTGTGGTCAGTTGTAGCAGTCAGTCGTGTTGATCGCATCGAAACAAATTCCGAACATATCAGATCTAAACTCAATGGGGACAAGCCTATCGTAACTCATCGCTTGACAGCTGGGAACATAGCATAACTAGCCACTGTATGAAGAAAAAAAAAATGTGCTGAGCTTTACAAATAAAATCGATACAAAAAGACATGAGAAGGAAATAATGCTGAATCACTTGGTGAAGATAAGGATAATAAATGTTCTATAATTTCTGTGAATAATGGTAGATTTTTTAAGTTATAATCATTAGAAAATAACTTTTGTAAAGGTTTAGATTTTTTAGAAATCAGCGGGTTAGAGAACTAAAAGAAAATATATTATGATCAAATAAAATGTAAAGATTTTTTTTATACTTACTGTAAATGTAAAGATATTGTTATACCAACTGTTAATGTAAAGGTTATTATTATACTTACCGGTATAATAAATGTAAAGGTTATTATTATACTTACCGTTACTGTAAATGTAAAGGTTATTATTATACTTACTGGTACTGTAAATGTAATGGTTATTATTATACTTATTGTATTACTGTAAATGTAAAGGTTATTACCATACTTATTGTAAATGTAAAGGTTATTATCATATTTACTGGTTATTATTATACTTATTGTATTACTATAAATGTAAAGGTTATTATCATACTTACTGCATTACTGTAAATGTAAAGGTTATTATCATACTTACTGTAAATGTATGATTATTATTATACTTACTGTAAATGTTATTATTCTACTTACTGTAAATGTAAAAGTTATTATCATCTTACTGTAAATGTTATTATTCTACTTACTGTAAATGTAATGGTTACTATTATACTTACTGTAAATAAAATGTAAAGATGTTTATTATACTTACTGTAAATGAGTGTATGATAAACATGGTATATCTTTATTGTCTTCTGCAAAACTTGATAATCTCTGAATGCACCTTGCTAGCTGAAATTAACGGTTTTAAGAATATAAACCTTAAAGTATGTACTCAAATATTGTATCCAAATTAAAATGAAAGCTCATTACAATTTTGTAATCCAATCATGATCAACTAAAAATTCCTGTTTCACAGGTCAGACTCAGAGGCAATTTGTAACTTAAAGTAGCAATAAGCTTATGCAATTTCAAACCAGCGGCTGCCAGGCAGGATACGCCCACATTTTCGAGAGATGGATAGAGAACAAGCTAACAAGAAAGTGATTTTTCCTACAATTAAGGGCCATAATTCAGGAAATTAGAATTCGATATGCGCGAATATCGAAAGGGACTGAGATCTTTGTGTTATAAACTTACATTTCAAGTTTCAACAAAATCGGATAAAAATTGTGACCTCTATAGGGTCCACGACCTTGATATACCATATTTTTACGCTATTTGACAACGAACGGCGGCCATTTTGTCTGTCAATTTTGGGGCGATTTTCACGAAATACAAACTCAGTCGTCCTTAGGGTGTAACGGTGATATAATAATACGTTTTTTTAAATCGGATAAAAATTATGATCTCTATAGGGTCCACAAGCTAAAAACGAGATTTTTCGTACAATCAGGGGCCATAATTCAGGAAGTTATGGTCCGATATGCACGAATATCGAAAGGAACCGAGATCTTTTGGTTATAAACTTACATTTCAAGTTTCAACAAAATCGGATAAAAATTGTGACCTCTATAGGGTCCACAACCTTGATATACCATATTTGTACGCTAGTTGAGAATGAACAGCTGCCATTTTTTCTGTCAATTTTGGGCCGATTTTCACGAAATTCGAACTTAGTCGTCCTTAGGGTGTAACGGTGATATAATAATACGGTTTTTTAAATCGGATAAAAATTATGACTTCTATAGGGTCCACAAGCTAAAAACGCGATTTTTCGTACAATCAGGGGCCATAATTCAGGAAGTTAGGTCCGATATGTGCGAATATAGAAAGGATCCGAGATCTTTGGGTTATAAACTTACATTTCAAGTTTCAACAAAATCGGATAAAAATTGTGACCTCTATAGGGTCCACAAGCTAAAAACGTGATTTTTCGTACAAACAGGGGCCATAATCAATGATGTTTCAATCCGATACATTCCAATATCGAAAGCAGCCGAGATTTTTCGGAGATAAACCGATATTTCAAGTTTCGTCAAAATCGGATAAGAATTGTGACTTGTAGAGTGTCCACAAACAATTGTTGACGGACGGACGGACGGACATCCGAACAGACAGGGGCGACGACAATATACATCCACATGAAAATGTGGGCGTATAAAAATTTATCGCCAGTAACCAGCTCTAGTGGTTACATGCAACCAAGCGGAATAATAGCCCTTATTTATTTTGTGATAACTTGCCGATACTGCATTGTATAACAATTCCCCAGAGGCTTACTTCGGTAGCCTACCAGTTTAAGAAATTGTACTTTTAAACACTTTATTTAGACCAGCGGTCGCCAAGAAGGATACACCCACATTTTGCAAGAGATGGACAGAGAACAAGATTAAATGTGACACTACATGGACAGATGTAACTATCCTTCGTCACAGCACTAAAATACATAAAGACATGACACTACAGTGTTGTTAAATAGATGAACTAACTTTGACTTCACGATGTGTATAAAACTTCAAGGATCAACTGACACAGAAACACTGTGTTGTTAAAATTATGTTTATATATCAAATACAGCAAACTACAACATCCATGATGGTACATTGAGTTATTGTAATATCTACAGTCTGAGTTTAACAAGCCCTAGCAACTCAAATGATGTCTTCACCCAAGCCTCTAAGTCAAGGAGTCTGTGGGTATGATGTTCCCCTAGGAATTCGGAATGATGTCTCTCCTAACATCTCTAAATTGATGTCGGTTTCCCAGCCTCTCAGCTGAGGAGGCAGTGGGAATGTCCTTCTGAGAATACTAAATGTCTTCACCCTAGCCTCTAAGCCGAGGAGGCTGTGGTTATAACGTTCCCCTAGGAACTCCGAATGATGTCTATCCTAGGATCTCTAAATGATGTCTGAAGGGAAATTTAACCCAACTCGTCAGCTATTAAGGCGGGACAATTACCATTTTTGGGTAAGTGTTACGTATGCGTGCCGTTTCAAGTCAACGTTATTTTATTTAATTGTACTAATCTGTGCACCAGATGCCTGGATGATAGTAACCTGCTTTCAGTAATTGATAGTGGCAGGAAATGTCTGTGAGTCAGTCTAAGAAACTTGAATCTTGCAAAATACATACTTAGCCAATTTCTCGTTGTCACCCATTTGTTTAACCACTTCAATATATTAAACAGAGTACCTTTCATAGAACTAAAATAAACCCTATAATATTACACAAAAATACGATTTGTTGTACAATCAGGGGCCATAATCCAGACAGTTACGGTGCGATATGCATGAATATCGAAAGGAACCGAGATTGTTGGATTATAAACACACATTTCAAGTTTTATCAAAATAGAATAAAAATTGTGACTTCTATAGGGTCCACAACCTTGGTATTACATACTTTTAGACTATTTGCGTACACGAAGCGGCCATCTTGTCAAGCAGTTTCAGTCGGATTTTTATGAAATTTAACCTCAACCTTCACTGATATATATTTAAACGTTTTTTAAAATTAAATACAAATTGTGACTTCTTGAGGGTCCAAAAGCTAAAACCGTCATTTTTCAAACACTCAGGGGCCATAATCCAGGAAGTTACGTTCCAATATGCGTGATTATTGAAAGGAACCTAGATCTTTTGTGATATAAACATAAATTTAGAGTTTCATCAAAATCAGATTAAAATTGTAACCTCTAGAGGGTCCACAACCTCAATATGACATACTTTTACACTATTTGTATTCAAGGAGCGGCCATTTTGTCCACTAGTTCCAAAATGATTTTCACAAAATTCAAACTCAACCCTCGTTCTGGTGTAATGTTGATAAATTTAAAGGTTTTTTAAATCGGTTACAAATTGTGACCTCTAGAGGGACCACAAACTATAAATGCGATTTTCCGTACAATTAGGGGCCATAATCTAGGAAGTGAAAGTCAGATATACACGAATATCGACAGGAACCAAGATATTTGGGTTATAAACATACATTTCAAGTTTCATCAAAATCGGACAAAAATTGTGACCTGTAAAGTGTCCAAAAGATTAAAATGTGATTTTTCATACAATCAGGGGCCATAATCCATGCAGTGACGGTCCGATACATAATAATTTTAAAAGGAACCAAGAACTTTGGGAGATACACCTATATTTCAAGTTTCATTAAAATCCGATAAAAATTGTGACCTGTAGAATGTCCACAAACAAAATGTGAACAAACGGACACACAGACGGACATGCTGACAATATATGTCCATATGAAAATGTGGGTGTATAAAAATGTAGGTGTTTGTACGTGTTGCAGGCAGTAAGCTGTGTATGGCCATAATGTAATATGTTTAACTCCATCGACAAACTGGATATGATTTGTTCTGTGAAAAAAATGACAAATTGCTTCTTTAAATACAGTTTACAATACATGATGGCAGACATCCTACCCAAACCTGAATACCCAAAGTTTTATTCTTACCTTTGGTAGGAGAATATCAAATGCATCCCTCATAACTATTATATCCTGAAATAAAGTTAAAATTTAAGTTTTATTTATAAATTGTTTTGATGTAATAAATGTATACAGAAAACAGTTAATGGGATAACAAATAAACATCCTGTAACATAATAAATTTAGTAATTCTATTTACATTTGATTTTGATAACATCTGAAATCCATATCAATCGAATATAACATAACATATAAATTATTAATATTATATGCAACTTTATTATGTTTCTTGAATGATTATTGACAAGATTTAAAGCACCACAGTTACAAATGAAATGAAATGAAATGGGGTTTAACGTCCTACTGTTCTGCTCCTAAACTTGGCTAATGAAGACGGGCATACGCCATACAGTGTGCTATGAGGGAAATTTTGCCCGGGCAGCGGCGCTACAAGCTACTCTTTTACGTGCACACCGATGTGTACACGGGACCTCGGTTTTTCATCTCATCCGAATGACTAGACAGCTGTCCTCGTCAGGCCCTCCGTCCTGCACACCACAGTTACAGCAGCAGCATAAGCTGATGTACTGAAGCTATGACAATCCAGCAATCTTCTGAAAGAAAAAATAAACCACAAGGAGAAAAATCTTACCGTATTGTCTCCAACATAGGCCGATGTAGCACCTAAATGTATAACTCCTGCAGCCAAAGGACAACAACTTCCAAAAACATGAACATGCGCCATCACATCATGACGGGTTTTTCTTTCTTCTATGGCAGCAGCATCAAAATCTATATTTTCTAAATTATCTTTCATTTCACAGATTTGTTCATCAGTTATTGATAATCCTAATGTCTGAAAATTAATAATAAACATGAACACAGTATAGTAATTAGACTTTAAAAATGTTTAAAACTTGACAGGTCTGCACTTACAACTGGATTACAAGTTAGTTTCTTAAGACATTATACATGTAAGGAAGTAATTGAAACCAGGCAATGAAAAACATGAAGCCCACTGAGCTAATTCGTCCTAGCAGTTCAGTTTTTTGTTGTAGGAAATGGCCAGAGCATTTACACAAACACTAAAGACTGATCAAGAGTAGAAACCCATGAACTGATTATGACAGATAATTAAAATTTGACTGACTTCTATTAATCTAATAAATAAAATGCTACATTTTTCAGTTTGTAACGCATAAAATCATTACCGTAAAAAAATTATATGCAAAAAGATAATGTACATTCTTGGAACCTTAAAATAGATGAAAAAGGGTAGAAAAGCATGACATAGTGTGATATGTCTTTACTTCCAGTTTGTGCATCTCAAGTTTTCCATGATGAACCTCATACATGTTTTTGGGCAAGCAGTTGCCACATGTTGCTCCAACTGTGGTAGAAAGAGTTCTACCCTACAAAAATTTGGGGAAAAGTTAGATCCGGTCTAAGAAACAAGAATTAACATTAAAGTAAATGGGGAAATCATTAGTGATCTGTGGCCATATTGGTCTGTCTCGTACAGAGGGAGGCAGAGTCAGGCAGACCACCGGCACCATTAAATTTCATCATCTGGGCACCCACAAATTGTAGTTGGCTATTTTGAGGCAGAAGGATAACAGCTTATCAGGTTGGTTACAGTGATATGTATACGGCAAATAGTTACATGTTTTTAGTATGCTTCTTTAAGTTTGTGTATCTCAAAATTTTGGTGGTCAACCTCATAAGAATTTTAGTGCAAAGACATGACCATTTGTTCTTCTGTCTGTGGTGAAAAGCATTCAGCCCAACAAAAATTTGGGGAAAAGCTGAAGGTGGGCAAAGAGGCCAGAATTAACATTGAAGTCAATGGGGAAATTAATGGTGGTCTGGGGATCACTTGGCTAAGTGGGTAAGACGCTGGCTTGCTAGCCTGTAAGTCGGGTATTCGATCCCTGCATTGGCCGAGAAAGTTCATCCAGATTTTACGGCGTGGTTCCCCCTTGTCAATGATGCAAAACGGAGGGCCTGACAAGGACAGCTGTCAAGTCCTTCGGATGATACGAAAAACCAAGGTCCCGTGTATATATTGGAATGCACGTAAAAGATCCCCTGGGAGTTGGAATTTGATATAAGAGTAGGCGATAGTGCCGCTGCCCGGGCAAAATTTCCCTCATAGCACACTGTATGGCATATGCCTGTCTTCATTAGCCCAGCATAAGAGCAGAACAGTAGGACGTTAAACCCCATTTCATTTCATTTAATGGTGGTCTGCCCCCAGAGGTTAGGTGGAGTTATCACCCTTTCACTAATATGTTTTAGCAGCTAATGTTGATTTTTATCGGTCTGAAACTTAAGTGATAGTAGGCCTACACAATTATATTAATCATCCCTTATTTAACTAACAAGAAAAAATTGCATATTAATATTATTATATTTTACTATCGTTGTCTGTCATTTGGCTTTCTTCTCTTTGGAATAATATGTAGGCAGTATAGTAATTACTAAATTAGTAATGTCATTTGTCAATGTATTAATATTATGTCCCCTGTGGACCCTTGTTTGGACAGATATTACCGGTGTTATTAATAATATAATATTAGCAAAATAAAGCTAGTAGTCAGACATTAAGGATTACAAACCGTCAGTTCAGACTCATGACAAATCATCAAATCAGCTTATTTTTGAGTCAGTTCATACTCATATTCATACTATGATTAGTATGATACTGATCATTCACACTGAATGACTGAAAGTGAAAGTTGAAAAGTTACCTTTTCTGCCTGTGCCAGGTAAAACCAAAGACGTCTCCAAGTTGAGAATTTCTTGAAGTCACTGAAATTATAAACCATTTCCTTGCTGGCATATCTTGACACTAGAGGGGTTTTATATTTTCGATAGTCATCGTTGTTTTCTTTAGCCATTTTGAAGCAAAAAAGCAACGAGGAGGCCAAATGTTTACTTCCGGTATAGTTAACACGTGGGTCCGGTGCACTGATCTGTAGACGCGCCAAATACAAATCATCATTTATCCCTATCGATATCGGACTTTTCGGTTATCAGTAATTCCTTTAGTTATTGAGTATTTAGTGCAGGGGCAGGAAGCCTTTAATAGTCTGACCCGCCAGGGGATCTCAATCTAAGGGATGCCTATCCGGGCGCGACGGTGAGAAGGGGATTTTGCGTTCTTAAGTTAGTGTTATTAGGCCATAGATGTCCTACTCCTAGTGAAACTTTTAAAGAATTTAGAATATTCTACATTCTACCTAGCAACCGTCATTATGAAGTCGTTCGGTGTCGCCACTGCGTGCTCATTTGGTGATTGTGCACCTGTTCGGGAACATTATGTTGAAATAAACGACTCGTCCTTCGTCGCGCTGGATGAAGGTTGGACAGAGTGCTGAAGTTTGGAGAGAGAGAGAGAGAGAGAGATGGGCTTGATAAAGACGAGTGTATCCTCGTCGAAATGTCGCCTAGTTTTAATAAATTGGCTCAATTGTAAAATAAAATTCTCCAAATCCTGCACTTGCCAGGGACTATCCCGATTTGAACAGAGTCTCAAAAATAAAAGTCCGAGTAAGTATAAAATTTAAGCGCCAAAATATAGAGGAATGGTGTATTTACCCTGTCCCAAAAATTCAGCTCAAAATATTGAGTCGTTTGGACGTGACGCCAAAACTGCTTATCCGGACACGTAACCCTTTTAAGATTTCGGATCAATTTTTTCGTTGGGTGACCTGATAATCGATTCCCGTTCCTTTATAGGTCTATACAGTGAATGACCAATGTGCTGTACTTGATAACGAAAGGTAAATTTCACCTACACATTATTTTTTTAAAATAAAAGTCTGGTTTTATCCAAACACCGCATAATACAGATTGGGACACCGGTCGTAATTTCTAGATTTAGAGACTGACGGGTTTAAGTTGTTTGAAAACGTATCACATATATTGAGTTAGTTGCTCGGCCCTAAGGTAGAGGATTTTAAGGGATTTGAACACAAAACTAAGCAGTTTTATTCTCCAAACTATTTTTGGGATTGGCCCTTTAAATAAAAATTAGCAAATGCTGTTTAGCTTGTATTTGAAATAGTATTAAATTTTGCAAACCATATCACGTTCGATGTTGTTTGGAGGGTTGGATGGCCGAATGGTTAGCACGTGCGCGCTGTATCATAAGGTCTGTTATCGAGTCAACTGGTGTGGTTTCGATATCCCGGTTGTACGTGACAAGGAGTATGTTCGCCTGTCCGACCTCATGGGTTTTCTCCGAGGCCTCCAGGTTCCTCCTACTGCTAAAGCTAAGTGCAAGCGAATTATTGAAATAAAATTGAGCCATATGTTAGTCCCGAAATGACTTAGTTTGTGTTGCGTGGACGTTAAACCCTCTCTCCCCCCCCCCCCCTCTCTCTCTCTCTCTCTCTCTCTCTCTCGATGTTGTATTCAATTTTAACACTCCGCCAAACCATTCAACCTGATGAAGAGCAAGTCGTTTGTATCAACAGAATGGTCCCGATCAGGTGCTCAATCGCCAAATTGAGCACACGGTGGCGACACCAAACGACGTCATAATGATGGTTGCTAGGTAGAAGTATCAAAATTCTAAATTTGTTTGACGTTCATGCTTAACATGTAAAGCGACAATGAAGTAGACATTTTTCGTCTTAATAATAAAAATAAGATGAAACAGAATTAAAATTTACATTGAACAAATAAAGAAGTTGGATTATACATTGTCTTAATTTAGAAATTAGGCCTACATGAATGGAAGTTAGAAATTACATGAATGGAAGTAAGAAATTAGATCAGGGCCGGCGGAAGCAATTCTTGATTGGGGGGGGGGGGGCAATCCTAGGTCCTTATAGGCGTGGGTCCAGGGGCCACAATAACCCGGAGAAAAGAGTACAGCCCCCCCCCCCACTCCGCCGGGCCTGTAGACGATAGCATGTTAAAATTTTGAATCTAGGCTAATATACCGCCATAGTTAGCTGCGCCCATTTAGGCCAACTAAGTGCACCAGGGCTCCAATGGTCTTAATCAGTCAATGTAGTGGTATACATTGTATAAGTTTTGACATTGTGCTGCATTCCACTAACTCAGTGGTTCTCAACCTTTACCTGCCAACGGCAGACCTTGGAACACATGAAAAAAAATAGCGGCACACCTGGTTAAATATATATGAAAATATTTGAATTTTGCAAAATAAAAACATAATAGTCAGACGGCATACAACCTTAGTCAGAGACTAGTCATAGACACTTTATAGCTCAAACTAAATAAAGAAAATCACAGCTATGAACTTATCAGTAGGCACGAGTTAATACTCAATTATGATCTCGTGGTTTTTCACATTTTCTTATAGTGTGCCGTTCAAAATTTCACGGCACACTTGGTAAGACCTCGCGGTACACCTGTGTGACGCGGCACACTGGTTGAGAATCACTGCACTAACTATTCAGACTATTGTCTCGATTTAGGGTTTTGTGTTTGCATTTTCGTGTGGACGTATTTGCTGTCGTCCTTGTCCGTCCGGTCACATTTGTTTGTAGACACTCTACTGGTCACATTTTTATCCGTTTATATAATTATATTTATACCAGGGCCTGATAAAAGGGGGGGGGGGGAGCGCCCATTCATATATATTGATGATCTTATGTTCAGTTTCCTCTAACATCTTATAGTGCTAATTCCTTATAAGCATACATTAGATACCAGCAAATACTAAAAATCTAATCGTGACATCGAATATAATACGCACATATTAGATACTAGCAAATACTAAATATTTAATCGTGACACCAAATCTATATTGATGATCTTGTAATCAGCTTCCCCAAGCATCTTATATAGTGCTAATTCTTTATATAATCAGCGCATACTAGATACCAGCAAATACTGAATATTTAATGGCGACACCAAATCTATATATTGATGACCTTGTATTCAATTTCCTCTAACATCTTATAGTGCTAATTCTTTATATAATAAACACATATTAGTTACCAGCTAATACTGAATATTTAATTGTTTATAAGCACATATTAGGTACTAGCAAATACCGAATATTTAATCGTGACACCAAATCTAAATATTGATGATCCTGGAATTTTATAGTGCTAATTATTTACATAATGAGCACATATTAGATACTAGCAGATACTGAATATTTAATTGTGGCAACAACTCTCAATATTGATGATATTGTATTCAGGTTTTCCTAGCATCTTATAGTGCTAATTCTATATATAATAAGCACATATTAGATACGAGCAAATATCTAATACTTAATCGGGACACCAAATCTATATATTGAAAGATCTTGTAATCAGTTTCCCCTAGCATCCTCCAGTGCTATTTTTTTTTATATAATCAGCGAATACTAGATACCAGCAAATACTGAATATTTAATGGTGACACCAAATCATATTCATGATCTTGTATTGAGTTTCCCCTAGCATCTTACAGCGCTAATATTTTATATACTAGGCACATATTAGATACCAGAAAATCCTGAATATTTAATCGTGACACCAAATCTATATATTGAAAATCTTGTAATCAATTTCCCCTAGCATCTCATAGTGCTAACATTTTATATAATAAGCACATATTAGATACCAGCAAATACTATTAATTTTGTGTTCAATCTCACCTAGCATCTTATAGTGCTAATATTGTATATAATAAGCACATATTAGACACTAGCTAATTCTTTATATAATAAGCTCAGATACCCTGCAAATACTGTATATTTAATGGTGACATCAAATCTATATATTGATGATCTCGTATTCAGTTCCCCTAGCATCTTATAGTGCTAATATTTGATATAATAAGCACATATTAGATACCAGCAAATACTGAATATATAATCGTGACACCAAATCTATATATTGAAGAACGTGTAATAAGCTTCCCCAAGCATCTTATAGTGCTAATTCTTTATATAATAAGCACATATTAGATACCAACAAATACTGAATATTTAATCGTAACACCAAATCTATATATTGAAGATCTTGTAATCAGCTTCCCCTAGCATCTTATAGTGCTAATATATTATATAATCAGCGCATATTAGATACTAGCAAATACTGAATATATAATTGTGACGCCAAATCTAAAAAAAATAATTGATGATCTTGTTTTCAATTTCTCCCGGGAACTTAGATTGGTAACTAGATACCAGCAAATACTGAATATTTAATCGTGACACCAAATCTGGGGATCTTGTATTCAGTTTCCCCTTGCATCTTATAATGCTAATATTTGATGTGATAAGCACATATTAGTTACCGGCAAATACTGAATATTTAATCGTGACACCAAATCTATATATTGATGATCTTGTATTCAATTTCCCCTAGCATCTAATAGTGCTAATATTTGATATAATAAGCACATATTAGATACCAGCAAATACTGAATATTTAATCGTGACATCAAATCTATATTTTGAAGACAATGTAATCAGTTTCCCCTAGCATCTTATAGTGCTAATATTTGATATAACAAGCACATATTAGATACCAGCAAATACTGAATATTTAATCGTGACACCAAATCTAAATATTGAAGATCTTATAATCACTTTCCCCTAGCATCTTATAGTGCTACTTCTTGATATAATCAGCTTATATTAGATACTAGCAAATCCTGAATATCTAATCGTGACACCAAATCTAAATACTGTATTGGAGATCTTGTAATCAGTTTCTGCTAGCATCATACAGTGCTAATATTTTATATATTGATGATCTTGTATTCAATTTCCCCTAGCATTTAATAGTGCTAATATTTGATATAATAAGCACATATTAGATACCAGAAAATACTGAATATATAATCGTGACACAAAATCTATATATTGAAGATCTTGTTATCAGTTTCCCCTAGCATCTTATAATGCTGATAATTTATATAATACGCACTTATTAGATACCGGCAAATACTGAA